GCGTCCGTGAAGGACGGGAACACCGCGACAGAGCCCAGGGCCGAACCCTACGGGACCGCGTGGGCATCTCGGGATGTGCCGCTGCTCCAAGCCCAGCACAGGTGGGCGGCCCCGGTTCCTCGGCCTCAGAGACCGGAAGAGGTCGGCACGTCCCTGCCCCACCCGCGGCCACTTCCGAGTCTAGCAATAGGAAAACCAGGAAACGCAGCAGATCCGCGCCGGTGGGAGCACCGCGCATCCCGGCTCCGACACCACGCATAGAAGCGGCACGGGGGGCGCGGCCACGCTTCACCCCGCCCTCAGACCCGCCCCACGTGACGTCACGACATCGCCCCGCCCACCGTGGTGCCCGGATGAAGCAGTTCCGCCGGCGGTGGGCGATGCTGCGGCAGTGACAGGGGATGCGCTCCGGTGAGCAGCGGCCGCGGCGGGTACCGGGGACAAGGGGGGCCGTGGCGGTCAGCAGCCGGTCCGCTGGGTAATGGACATTGAGCGATGGGCGACAAGCGATGGGCAATGGGCACTGAGGGGCTACGGCCCCGGCTTCTTCCACCTATTGGCTGCGAAGTGACAACGGGGCAGCTCCCGCCCTGCAGCGCATTCTATTGGTCGGCTGCACGGCCCCTCCGCCTCTCATTGGTGGATGCGCCTGCCTGTCTGTCGGCGGCCCGGCCTGGCTCTGCTTGCGCGGCCACCGCCCTATGCGAGCCGCTACCCCCCCCCCACACCCCGGGCTCCTGAGGTAACGGCGCGCGGCCGGCGCCGTCCGTCTGTCTGTCCGTCTGCAGGAGGCCGCGGGGCGGCACGAGGCGGGTGGGAGGACGGGCGCGGAGAGGGTCGGGCTGCGGGGCTCGGGCGGGGGGAGCGGGGCTGGGGGCCGCGGGCCGCCCGGCGGCTGTGCGCGGGGCTGGGGCGGGCGACGGGGTGGAGGGCGGCGTTGGTCCCCGACGGGAATCGCCGCCTCGCGGCGTCTCGGCGGTCTCGTCCCTCCTGGTGCCGCTGGTCGCTTTCCCTGCCGGCCGCAGACGCAGCTCGTGTTCCTCCGTTCCGTTCTTTTCAGCCCTAGGGTTCGCAGTGCTGAGAGCTGGCACGGCCTGCAGTGCTGGCAGGTACGTGACCGGCGGATGGGGGCTTCAGGCGGTGCCAATTAACGCCCGCCCTTAATGACGCTGGGTGAACGGAGTGTGCTGTCACCTTGCTTCCCTCTCACAGCTGCTGCTTGGTTTGCTGCTCTGGCAGAGATGCTGTTTGCTGCTGCCGATGCCGGGTCTGTCTGTGCCCAGTTTTCCACACTGCAGGTTCTGCCCATCTCCCCCTGTGCTCAGCAGGGCTCTGTGCTGCCGTGCCCCATCCCAGCAGGCCCTGCCAGTTTGATGAGTTTGACCCCAATTGCAGCAGACGTGATGTGAGGGATGAGCACACTGACATGAGGTACAGCTCCTGGAGCTGGACTTGCAGCTGAGTGACTTCCCGTTAAGATCTCCTGCTGACGAGGATGGCTCTCCTCACCCACGCAGCTCATTGTTCTCCACCCCTGCTTGGTGACTCAGGGCTGCTCTTCTTCTGAAACTCAAAACTCGCTTGACTCAGTGAGGAGTGCAGAGAGGGATTTTTTTGTTTTGTGCCCAAGGAAGTGGGCCAGCAGGGACAGGGAGGTGATTGTCCCTCTCTACTGTGCCTTGTGAGGCCCCAGCTGCAGTACTGTGTCCAGGCCTGGAGTCCCCAGTACAAGAAAGACAGGGAGCTGTTGGAGAGGGTCCAGAGGAGAGCCATGAAGATGAAGAGGGTGCTGGAGCACCTCCCCTATGAGGACAGGCTGAGGGAGCTGGGCTTGTTCAGCATGGTGAAGAGAAGGCTGCGGGGTGAGCTCATTGCAGCCTGCAGTACTTAAAGGGAGCCTACAGACAGGAGGGGAGTCAACTCTTTGAAAGGGTAGATAACAGCAGGACAAGGGGAAATGGTTTGAAGTGGAGGGAGGGAAGATTTAGGTTGGATGTCAGGGGGAAGTTCTTCACAGAGAGAGCGGTGAGGAGCTGGAACAGCTGTCCAGAGAGGCTGTGGATGCCCCGTCCATCCCTGGAGGTGTTCACTGGCAGGTTGGATGGGGCCCTGGGCAGCCTGGGCTGCTGTGAAATGTGGAGGTTGGTGGCCCTGCTTGTGGCAAGGGATTGGAGCTTCGTGATCCTTGAGGTCCCTTCCCCAACCGTGGCGATTCTGTGATTCTGTGGTTAACTGAGTGAAATGGAGTGGAAATACTCCTCGGATATTTAAGGCAATTTCATTTTGCATTAAAAAAATTCCAGGACCTCATGGATGGTAGGTGGCCTTGCCAAGGTCAATTTTTGCTTAGAAATGTATTAGCATCTGTAGTAGTAAGAAATATAGGAAGCTGTTATATTTATTTGTTTGTATTTAAACTTGATGCATCAGACAGTGCACAGACACGCTGGTTGGTAGTGCCAGCTAACTGTGAGAGGTGTGGGTTAAATGGTGTGGTTGACTGTTTTGGTTTGTTCTTTAAATTATTAATCTTGGGTCTGCCTTGGAAGAGCTCCTCTGTCCTCACACACCTCAGCCTGGCTGGGCTGTGGTCAAGCTGCAGAACAGATCCCAGATGCTCACCTCTCTGTGCAAAGTTGTTCTGCACGTTTTTGAGAGGTGAAGGTATTTATTGAGAGGAATATGTCACTCCATGTCCTCCTCTCCTTTTGGGGTAAAGCCCTGCTTTCTGTGAGCACGTGGGGGCTGTAGGCATGAGATAATCCTCAACTGTGGGAAAAGGGGGGGGTAAAGAAAAAAGAGAGAAGAGAATCAAGGCTGTTGGTGGCTGTGACGTTGGTGCCACAAGGAGAGTTGTCACCAGAGGAGTGCCTGGGCTGGGACTGCCAAAAGCACGGAAACAAAGTGCTTCTTACTTCCTTGGTCTATTAGAGCGAACTTTCATCTTGTGATCCGTGTGCTGAAGGGCCCTAAGGCCTGGCTGCCCTGTGACTCATGGGTGGTGGGTGTTACAAAAGGTTTTCCCCTCCCTGGTACTACTCAATTTGAGGTGATTTAAAGGCAGTTCACGGATCTGAGGAGAAATCTGCATTAAGTGCTTTTCTTTCTAAGTCACTTGTCATTGTGCAGCGTCCAGAAGCATCATAGCCCTCTGGCCACCGCCTTCCCAGGGAGTTTTTTCATTGGAATGGTATTAATTGCTGAGAAATGTGGAGGCTCCAGGGACCTGCGTGCTGTCTTTTGTCACAGGCTCTTTGCTATGCTTGTCATAAGCTCTCAGATGAAGTCATTGCTCCTGGGCAGGTCGTGCTGCAGTGTTGCAGGGCTTTAAGAGAAAGGTAGCAAGGATTTGAGGTGATAGCTGGGGTGGGCACAGCACGTGGGGCTTTGCAGGTGGCCCCGGATTCTGGCACGTGCCCACGGGCAGGGACCTCCCCTCCATCTCTGCAGGTGCTGGTCCTTGTGCCAACCTCTTCAGGTCTTCGTTTCGAGGATGCTTTGGTGGCGTTGCCTAGGAACAAATAGAGATCTGATTGTGTTGTTTGTGAAAGAAATAAATGATTTTAGTGCTGAATTCTGATGCCTTTGCTAGTTGGGCTGTGCATGTGGTTGGTTGGGTTTTGCTCCCCGTCAGATACCTTATTTGCTAGGTATGCAAGTCTAGGCCACGTGGTACAAAGCATACCTGCTGTATGAGGTTAGTACGCAGATTCTGCAGGAGACTGTTGAGATAAGGCTGAGCTGTTTGCTCTCGAGTTGTTTTAAGGGCTTTTAGCCTGAACCTGGCACAGAGTTCCTGCAGGTAGGGTTTGCTTACCTTCTGCCTGCTGTGCTGTGCTCACGGGAGGAGCAGGATTCATTATTATGGACAGTGCTGATGCTGTGTGCTCTAAGACTATTTTTTTCCTGGAAGCTCATAGGCTGCTGTTGCAAGAGGCAAGGAGGCATTTGTTGTGGTTCACCAGAGAACATTCAGTTCAAAAATAGTATTGCAGGAAAAGACAGAGGTTCACTTTCCGAAGCAGCGATGGAAGCAGGCAGCCTTCCAAAACGCGCATGAAAATGCCTCTGGCTCCTATTTCAGGATGAGAAAAACAAGAGCGAGTTGATTGGAGAAATCTAATCCGTGGCTTCTGATTATTTGTTTGCTTTTGATTGTTTGCTTTCCCTTTGCTAATAAGTGAAAGACAACACAAATGTGCTCAAATTCACAACCATGCTTTGAATCTTTTGATTAAAAAAATAATAATAAAGTTTATTTTAACAGGCTTGGGGGTTACCTGTCAGGTCTTGTGGGTTGGGGAGGTGAGGAATGGTAGAAACGGGTTTTCTTTAGGCTTTTGTGTCTGTGAAAGGGTGTAAAACGGGCAGAAGCAAATACTGTGGGTTTGGACAGCCTCGTGCTGGCACTGATCCTGCTCTGCATCACAGCTCAGGATGATGGCAGCGGCCTGGGGCACAGGGAGGACTGCAGCTATGACGTGGCACTTCCCTCTTTAGGGGACTGTGACAGCCAGCATCAGTCGTTACATTGAGAACTGAAGGGCAGATGTGACTTTGGCAGGGTCTCTTTATCCAGTCCCATTGCAGGCAGTTATTTGGTTAATTCCAAAGCTGACCTTTGTGTTACCTCTGGTGGTCAGCAAAACACTGCGGCTGTGGCAGTGCCAGCACTGTGACTTGTCGCGTTTGAGTAGCAGTGCTTGGCCTCTTTTCTTAGTTCTCCATCTCTGCTTCCTGAAAGTATTGGGCAGTCGCAGCTGCGTGTGAGCAGCGCTCAGGATAGCTTTGGATGCAGTGGTTTTGTAGGTGCTTCTGTAGCTCCTGATGTGTCAGCCAGTGGAGCTGGCTTTTGGGAATGGAGCAGGGTGGGTTCTGAGCTGTGGGAGGGCTGGCTGGGAGTCTGAGCTTCTAAGCATCGCGTTGTGTTTCAGGCTTAGTGTTCTGGTGGGACATTTGATCCAAGCCATCACCCAGCCTCCAGTCACATGGGGAGCCAGGGGAGCTTTTTTTAAGGTTCGCCGTTACGCTTTCTGCTTGTGTTTTAATGGCTCAGCTGAGAGGTGGCTCCATGAAAATAACAGTTTGGCCTCGGGTGCAAGGTTTGTTGAAGCACTTGAGGGGAGTGCTGCTTACCTGTTAGCTTAGTCACTTCTGCTGTGTGCTGGATTCAGACTTCAAGTCTTTTAGTATCTGGAAAATACTGAGTGACCCACGTGCCAGGATGCTTTGGGGAGTGGGAAGCCAGATTAGGGTGTTGTGTACAACCAGGTAAGTAAGCAAATAAGAACACCAAAACACGATTCAGTGAAGTTTGTAACCCACAAGCTCCAGTTTTTCAGAGGAATCACAGTGTGTTCCACTTCTAAGTGCGGAGTCGCTCTGTCCCTGTATAATGGGGGGCTTGAAAGGAGCCGTCGCATTCTGAACATAGCTCTTGTTGTAGAGCTGCTTGGATCTGGAGTTCTGCCCGTGTAACTGAGTTTTCCCAGGGTGCTGCGTGAATGCTGAGCTGTGTTGTAATGAATTCCGAGTGGGCATCGGCATGAGCCTGCTCTCCTTTTCCCTGGAAGACGCTGCTGCATTGTCTTGTCTGTTCCTGAAAGCCCCAGTGTTGTCTGTCAAAGGCCTGATTCTGCAAGTGCCACGTATGCAGAGGAGCTCCTGAATGGGAAGGGCTTGTGCTGGGCTCAGCTCTCACACAATGCCCGAGGCAATGCGCTACAGCACAGTGCTTTGTGTCCGACTGCTGGCATCCCGTGGGCACCACCGTCCCACTGTCAGATGTTGGGAGTTGTGTGTTAGGTTCTGTTAACGCCGTGGAGCTGCTTTTTGCTGGGTGTTTGGATAGGTCTGGTTTTCTGTACCGTGAGTGGGGGGAATGGGCAAAGGCTGGCAGAAGGGAGAGGTGCAGGTTGGGAGCTGCCTGTGTCTCTTAAAGCAGTCTTATGGCTCGGAGCCACTGTGTATAGTGTGAGTGTGCGCTCCTCTTTCTCTTGTCCTCCAGGCACGGGGGAGAAATGGTAAAAGTTTGTTTGCACAAATGCTTAGCTAGCATGTTGGCACGAGCTTCTGATGGGAGTGTTTCTGTAGTGCAGTTGGCAGATCAAAACCCAGTGCTGGCAGCATTGGGTGCGATGGAAAGCATAGAGTGTGGGGAGCTGTGAGCTGTTGCTGCATAGCGAGATGGATGAGGCTGGGGACTGGCTGTGGCAGCTCGGCTCTGTCCCACGAGGAGACCTGGGGGCTTCTTTGGAGGAAGAGTGATTGCCGCTGCTTGCAGGGCTCCTGGGGCGTTGGTACAAGGGTGTGCCTTGTGCAAGCAGACAGGAAGGAGTCGTGGACCCAGGCACACGTTATCGTGCTGCTTCTAGGAAATGATGTAAGGTACTTCCTCGTACTGACTTTTCTCTGAATTCAGCCGGTGGGTGGTTCCCTGGTTGTTTACCTTTAGGCACAGCTGTGGGAGCTGACCCTGTTCAATGATATGCTTCGTTTAATGAGGGGAAAATGTGCTTCTGGCTGACCCGAGAGTGCCAGCTGAGAGCCACGAGACTGAAGACTTATGAAGTGGTTTCAGTGTGATTGCTGGGGACTGATGTTATGGACACACACAGCAGTAACCGACTGCTCACCTCTTCCTCAACCCACAAATCTGCATAGCAATTCAGGAGCTGGCCTGAGCCACAGCAGATATCTGCCTGCCTTGATGCATCAGGCTGTGAGACAGTGGCAGCTCAGAAGGTGATTCATGGGCCCTGCATCCACTGCAGACACAGGACTTGATTCGTTCCTGCTTGTCATTAAACTGCCTCGGTAACAGGTGCAGTAACTGAGGCACATACACCCAAAGTAACTTGCATCTAATGAGGAACAGCAGGACTGAAAATACGTGTGCTGGGTGGAATGGTAGTGCCTCCCATGTTTTATTCTCTCAGTTCAGGGCCGTGTAGGAAAGGAGGCACGATCAGGCAGCATGAAGGCCTGGTGCATGGCAGACTGCTGCTGCAGCACAGCTGTGAGTTAGGTAAACAGGGAGAGAGTTGAGGCTTTTTGGGTGTACTGAGCACCCTGTGGGTAAGGTTGGTTCTGTGCCCTGCATTGTGGCAGCTGCAGAGCAGTGTGCCAGTTCAGCCCTGCCTTTGGGTGAGCCAAGCACCAGCCTCTGGGATGGGCTGCTGTGCCTGCTGATGGGAGCTCTGCTGTTGTTTTGTGCCACTTCTGGGTGTCTCACATGTGGGTCACTGAGATGCAGGACATGTCAGTGTGACACTTTCAGGCCTGGAGGGACAGCATCGGCTATTGACGGTCAGAATGTGAAAGTCAGGACATGTAGGTCAGCTGCAGTGGTTAATCCGCTGCGATGAGCTTGGTACAAACATTGTTTAAAGGCTCTGCAATAGAGGTTAGTTTCAGCTTATTCTTTTCTGGAGATTTATGATCTATTTTAAGTTTTGTCTTTTGGAGAGGAAAGAAAAAAAAAATATGGCTGCCTGTGAGCAAGAAGGTTGGTGGGAGCTTGAAAATGACACAGTGCTGCCTGGGGCTGTGAGCTGGGCCTGGCTGAGTGCATCCCCGGGTACTGCAGTGCATGCAGATCCAGCACCACTGCTTTGTTCTCATCTTCATCTTCAGCCGGGTCTGAGGCCTGGTGTGTGGGGAGCTCTCTGTGCAGTCATGGCAGACAGTGTTGCAGTGTGCGCTGTAGGAAGAGCCTTTTACAAATCAAAGTGGAAACTGTGATAGCTGTAAATTCTTACCAGTGGTGGTCCTAAATGTGCCAGTGGCATTAACTGCTGCTTCAGTGGTCAGTAAAGGATACAGCCCGGATTTCTGGTTTTGTTTCAGGCTGTGTGAGCGTTTCCAGAGGTTGCAGAGCATGGCGTTACTTGTTGCAGCTGGTCTTTGCTCAGAGGTGGCTCTTAGGGATCATTAACACTCACAGGCCAGTCTCAAGTCTGCAGGGCACAGCATTGAAGTACAGCAGCAGTGGGGGGGTTTGCTCTGCCTGCCTCATCATACTAAAATTGTTTTCTTATGTGTGCATCCTACAGGTCATATTGAACATGGACAGTGAGGAAATTCCGACCTTCTCAAGTCCAAAGGAGGAAACTGCCTATTGGAAAGAGCTTTCCTTGAAGTACAAACAAAGGTACTGTTGTATATTTTCAGAGTGGATTTGGTTCTTGGTGACTGAGGATGTGGCTTAGTCTGTTTCTCTGTGAGACTTTACCAAAATGTATTGAAATGACTCTCTGCATTTCCAGTTTAGGTGCAGCTTTTAAATCCAGCCTTGTGGAGGCTAAGTATTTCGTTCCTGGTGTTACCATGCCGTGAACTCAAGCCTGAGCAAGTTAGAGCAGGAGAAGAGCCCTTTAATGATTATGTGCATCTTTGTATAATTAAAATGCTGTCTTAAGTAGTAGCTTGATGTTTTGCAGTAAGAAGACTGCCTGTGGGCTTGCCTGGCATCATTACTGTTCCCCTGGGCTTCTTGCACTCGGTCTGAGAAGTTTCTGATTTGATAGCTGGCTGCAATATATTGAAGTCTGTTATACTTCTTAGTCCTGCCTGTGTTTGCCTCTGCTGTCTTTTAAGGGGAGCAGAAGGCTTTTTGGTCACAAAAAGTGGCAGGAGAGCTTGTTGTCTTCAGTGCTGCTTGTGGTTCGGGGTGGTTGTTGATTTTTGTTTGTTTGTTTGTTGTTGTGGGGGAGGGGAGTCAGCACTGGAGGTTTCCAGCTCATACATTTCAGAAAGCTTTTCTTGCACTCTGCATTACTGGTGTGCAATAGAAGCAAAGCCAGCCTAAGGAGCCCAGTGTGCAAGCTGTTTTTTGTTTGGGTCTGTCTTCTGGGTGTAAGGGGCAGGGTGTGGGCATTTGAGATCCTTGAGCTGTGTGAAGAAAGTCTGTCAGGAAGGTCTCACTGGTGCCAATCGAGATGTAGGTTCCTAAAGCCAACTCTGCCGGTTGCAAAGAGCTGCTACATATGGTAAAGATGAAAATGTAATTAGTGAAGTATGTGGAGTTGCTGCTACAAGTCATTTAATACCTTGCAGTGGTGTAAGGAGGGTAGGTGCTGGCTTCCTACCAAAGCACTTAGCAACCCTGAGATTCAAACCTGAATGCTTTCCAGCACACTTCTATTTGCAGGTAGTGATGCAGTGATTGTTCTGTGCTGGTTTTTGCCTGAAGCAGGTTAAAAGCTTTATGGCGTGACTCTCTCAAGTCTGATAGAGTGAAGTCTAGTAGGGTACAGACTAGCAGGAATCCTGGAAATAGCCTTGCTATAGGTTGTATTTGCATGTGCATTTAATGGAGTTATTTGGTATAAAGGGGTGAATTTCCATTAGCAGGTAAACAATACAATTGCTCTGTTTCCCCCATTTTTTTATTTTCCCTGCAGAGGTCTGTGGTTAAACACTTTAAAACTCTTGTTGCCTTTTCATCTAATTATTTCTGAAGAGCAGTGAACTTTGTGCTTGAGAGATGCTGCATTTTGAACTGATGAAATCTCCTTCCAGCTTCCAGGAAGCTCGTGAAGAACTGGCTGAATTTCAGGAGGGAAGCAGGGAACTAGAAGCTGAGTTAGAAGCACAGCTAGTGCAGGCTGAGCAGAGGAATAGAGATTTACAAGCAGATAACCAAAGGCTGAAATATGAAGTGGAAACATTGAAGGTAGGTCTCATCTGTAACTTCTTCCTTCAGATATGTCGTGGGTATCATTTCAGGTTGTCTGTTCTGTTCTGGGTCACTGGAGATCTAAATGACATAAAGGAATCATCTGCTTAAGCTCTACTCTTGGGCATGGCATGTACTCCAAATAAGGCCAGCAGCACACCAGAGAAATTTCTCAAGGACTTTTTCTTGTTCACGTCATTAAACATTTGTCACTGAGTTTGTGCTCGTTTGTTTGAAATCTTTAGGCTTCGCCAAGTGGTGCTTTGTTGTGTACACAGGCAGCATCACATAGCAACAGGGAGAACAACACAAGTATGTTTTGTCAGACCATGATTTCGTCCTCTTTCTGGACTTTTTGTTTGTTTGTTTGTTTTTTCCCCTGGAATTTCTCCTTGGTCTTTTGGCACCCTACTGAAATGTGACAGTGGGTGATTGGTGACATCTTTTGGGGGGATTCTCCTAATTTTTTCTTGATAGCCATATCTGTGGGGACAGGGACTGCATAAAGATCTGTGTGTGTCCAGAAAGGGAATTTTAGTTAGTATCTGTCCATTAAGGAGTTCTTGCCTCTCTTGGGGTCCTGAAAAGTACTTGTTCTGGTGATCTTGGATTATTTTATGAAAGCAAGGGTTGGGATCTTACCCAGTAGAAGTGGTATTTTGAGAATTTCTTGTTCACATATCCAGTCCTAGTTAAGGCTGGTACCTATTCTTTTAAGGTCAGCAGTTTTTCCATAAGCCCCTGTCTGTACCCTTAGAGCAGGTGAGAGCATGTTTTGGAATTCATCTTCCAGCCTTTCAAAGATAAGTTTGTGAACTTGGAGGTGTCCAGTAACAGGTTGCAGTGGCTCTGATTTTCAGCAATGGAGATGTCAGATGAGTTCTTGTGACAGTGTGGCCGTTGTAAGGGGAGGGAGGCACTGAAGGGGAGGCTGTGCAGTTTGATTTCTCTCTGTTTTTCTAGATGTTTGTGGCTTTAGAGCAGCTGAACAGCCAGCAGTTACAAGCAGTCAGTGCACAGGGCAGCGTATGTAATCGTATCCTTTGTTCCTTGCTGATGTTCTGAGTTCCCCCTGCCTGTACAGTTTTTGCCTTGCAGTCCCAGATGTGCAGACCGCAGTTAGCGTGTTGCTTCGTGGGTGCTGCTGATACTTCCCTCTCTACGCCTCTCTCTTTCAGGAGAAACTGGAGCACCAGTATGCACAGAGCTACAAGCAGGTGTCGTTGTTAGAGGATGACCTGAGCCAGACCCGGGCCATTAAAGATCAGCTTCATAAGTATGTCAGGGAGCTGGAGCAGGCCAACGATGACTTGGAGCGTGCCAAGAGGTGAAGGCTGCAAAACTCTTATTTCCTTAAATATTTGCTGGAGCTTGTCTGTGTTATTCAGATTCATCATTTTATTATTCCTTTAACGGGGGAGCGGGGGAGGAGAACAAAAACGCACACGTAAAAAATAATAATTAAAAAAAATCCTAAGTCACTTGATTCTTTGTAAAGTGCAACTTACCCTTGGAGTTCATCTCCATCAGCTGGTAGTTTTGCGTTACAGAAGAAAAGCTTTTGGGGGGACCTGAGGTGCTTTGTGTTCTTGTGAGCAATGAGCTGTGCAAGCGAGGCCGGTGCTCTAATTTTGATACTGCCAGCCCAGTGACTCTTACGTTTGTGATCCTTGTAGCTCAAAGCCCCTTTGAAGTAGGAAGCTGGTGCTTTATTTGGTCCCTTTTAAATTAAACACGCCAAAGGAGTCTCCTCTTTCCTTGCATAACAGCTTAATGACGGTGGGGAGCAGATGTGGTCTGTGTAAGTGCAGAAAATGAGCAGGCTGCTGCAGGAGACGCCCATTTTTGGAGTCGATCGTGCTTCCGCTCTGCTGAATGGGAATTTTGCCATTGATTCAGTGGGACCAGGAATGAGCCTCTGGCTATTTGGCAGTAAGATCTGAGAGCTGAGGCCTTGTTTCCACAGCACTCTTAACCTCATGACTAACTTTTGACACACATAAGTTGTCTCACTGATATCATGGGACAAGCATCCCAGTGCCCTTCTTTCTGTGAGCTGCTGCCTGTTTCTCCAGAGCTGACACACGAAATACATGACTTTGGAGAATGACTTGGGAAAAATGGAGCTCGGTGTGCCAGGCTGGCTCTGCCCCAGCTCTTTGGCACATCTTGGAGAGCTAGATGCTGTCATGTTCTTTTCATCTCTCTCTCTTCTTTGGAGCTCTAGTCCCTCCTAAGAAGCATTTTCATAGCTTTCAAGTAACTATCTTGAATGTAGGTCCTGCTAACATTTTTCCTCTATTATGTATTTGAATACACTTTTAAGTTAGCTGAGCTGAAGAATCTAATATTCTGGATTTTGTTTCTAGGGCAACAATAGTTTCATTGGAAGACTTTGAGCAAAGGCTGAACCAGGCGATAGAGAGAAACGCGTTTCTAGAAAGTGAACTGGATGACAAGGAGTCACTGCTAGTTTCTGTACAGAGATTAAAGGATGAAGCCAGAGGTATGGCTTGCTTGATTAGTTCTGTCTTTGTACATTGCTGGCTTACTAACAGAGACATGAAGCAACCAGAGCTCATGTTTATGGAAAGCTTCACTTAATGAGATTGAAACTGGATGTGTAATATAAGCGTTGGAATTTACCTGCTAATAAACAGTATGTTCTCTGTTCTTTGTGTGTCCACTGAATCTAAGAGGAAAGCCTCCCGTTGGGTAAAATTAGTGTCAGATTCTTTCAGGGTTTTTAACCAAGCTGAGTAAAAACATACTGCTTTCCACAGATTTAATAGAGCTGAAAACTGTGTTCCAGAAGTTTCCTCTCTGTGGCTTTGTGCCACAAGGCACAGGGAAAATACAGGAAGTGACAGGGAAATGCATGCCAAATGGTAAATAACTATCTTTAAAAATGCTGCCTGCTGTTACCTTCTGAACCTGTTGGAAGTTGCCTGGCTTCTTTAAGATATGCCAATAAAGACTGTGGTTAGAGCCGTGGCATCAGAGATGCTTCAGATAATCCTCAGAGCTGTAAGAGCTGGGAATTCCCTGAGAGGTTTCATGTTGAGAACGTGGGGGAAACTTTATTTCTATTTTGGTGGTTGGAGAACATGATTGCTCTGATGGAGCAGCGTTAGCATGCCATCACTGCAGGTTAGACATCAGTGTTTTTCAGCATTCTTTCCAAACTATTTCTTTGGAAGCAATTTCTCAGTGAAAGCAAGGACCTAAAAAGGACCTTTTTAGGCTGTGCCTGAAAAGCAAACAAACACAAACAAAAAACCCAACCATGTAATGTATTAGTGATTTGCCTCTGGGCCCTGCTAGAGACTTCACAGATCCATTGCTGAATTGTGCTGGATGTTCTTTATAGCAAATCTGTGTGGAATGGGAGGCAGCAAGGTGGTGATACAGAGCAGTCCAGAGTGATAGTGGGAATAAAACACCGGATTCCTAATTTCCCTTCTCTTCGTCTGTCATTTGGGCTATGAACCTCTTTAGTCTGCTTGTTCTCATCTTGATGAATCAAGAAACAGCAGACACAACCCCTTCCCAATGGCTAGTGTGCAGTCCAGCAGATGATTAAACTGGAAGGGCAGCGTTAGGAATTAGAAACACGAGATCAGGTCATCAGTCTGTTTCCATGGCCTCCCAGCTGAGTGCAGTTAGCAGGCATTTGTGAGTGGCTGCGTTCTTCTGTAGCCTGCTTTCCATGGAACTCAAACTACAAGTGGGGAGGAATGTGAGCCCAGGTCACCAGCCTTGTGCTCTGGGTGCACGCAGCTCTCTGGGCCAGCACTGTGTGGCTGCCTTTCGAGCTCTGCCTTATTTGAGATGGAGGGCTTTGCTGCTGGAGGGAGGCAGCGACAGTGACTCACTGATTACTGCAGAGTATTCTCTGCAAGAATTCTGTTGTTCTGTGGAATGCTGGAGAAATCTGCCACTGATGTGCTGTGTGTTTTGTCTGCGTGCTCAGACCTGCGGCAGGAGCTGGCAGTACGGGAAAGGCAGCAGGAAGTCACCCGCAAGTCTGCACCCAGCTCTCCAACTCTGGACTGTGAGAAGATGGATTCAGCTGTCCAGGCATCTCTCTCCTTGCCAGCTACGCCTGTTGGAAAAGGATCTGAAAATAGTTTTCCTTCCCCCAAAGGTATAATTCCTGGAAACTGTGCCTGATTGGGTGGGAGTACGTTCTGCTTGTTGAAAAATAACTTCAGACAGGCCCTTGTTAGTAAACTCAAAGTGAACACAGATACGTGTGGATCCCTACATAACATGTGCTGAAATACCAGAGCAGTGTCAGACCTATTTAATAAGTGTAATTAGTTAATACTGTGGGAAAGAAAGGGAGAAGCTTAGCTACTGCTTTGTAGGGGTGAGGATCTTGCTCTGCAGTAGAATACATTTGGGGTCACAGGGAAATGCAGTGAGTAACATTTCAGCTGAAGTTCCCTGGTGGGTAAATGGTGGGTAGCAGTGCTGGGCTGTCTTTGTTAGCGTGTGCTTGCGGGGTGCTGTGCTGTCAGGCAGTGGGATATTAGCCTAGTCCTCTTCCATCTGGAAGGCTCAGGTCAATCACGAGGATTAAAACAATTTATTTTAAATCAAAGTAGACTCCAGAGAAAGCTCTGGTTGGATTAGATGGATTGCAGGCAGCAGCTATGCAGATGGAGAGTGCGTGAACTCTGCATGTGTGTATCTAATGGGCAGGAGGGGAGTGGGCAGGAATTAAGCTTTTTCTCTGTGGCTAGTGATCTGTAGCCTGTGTTACTGTTTGTACAAAGAGTCTGCAGTCAGATCTAAGATTTACCTCCTTACAGGAGTTATTTAAAAATTAAATAGTGGAGGAGTGGCACATACATAATGAAGTGTGTTTGTTTGCAGCTATACCAAATGGATTTGGTACAAGCCCTCTTACTCCTTCAGCTAGAATATCTGCACTCAACATCGTGGGGGATCTCTTACGGAAAGTTGGGGTGAGTGCTGTGTACTGAACTGTCCCCAGCTCTGTGCCTTCCCTGAGAGTTCATCCACATGGGGGATGAAGAGGCCTTGGCTCATGCTGAATTAGTGCTGGAGTTTCTAAGGTGTCTCTCTTAAACTGTCCACACTTAGTGTTTGGGATGTGACAACGCTTGTTTTTTAATTATCTTGATTTATGGAGCAGGTTGCTAAGGATCTGATGCCAGCTTTTAGAGATAAAATCCGTTTTTGGAGTAAAGACTTTCTTGGTGCACGGAGGCTGGGCATTAGCAGATGCTCGTTCATGTTTCATGTGAAAGCAGGACTCAGCTGAACCTCAGCCTTAGGACCCACTGCACAATTGTGTTATTCATGGGAGGTGAGCTGATAGCAGATGGAGGCTCTGAGGAGATCTGCAGAAGTTACTGAGAACTTAAATGAATAGGTTATAAAAAATAAAATAGCCCTTTGGTAAGAAAGTGAAAAAATAAATCGGGAGAAAGCCGAGTGTTCCCATCTGTAGTTGATTGGGAAGTGAAATGCGAGCCTCTAAAGGGATTACAACTGTGAGCAGGAAAGAAGTGCTTTTGACATCTGTTGTGGTGTTGCTTAGGATGCCAGGCTTTCCAGCTGAATGAAGACACGACTTGTGAGTGGTGAGAAGCTTGTTTGCTTGCCTCCTTGGGCAGTGTTTCGAGTGGAAGCATGGCAGCCTTGGTGTCTAGCCTCCAGGGCTGGCTTTCCTCTGTCCCTTGTGGTTTGCACTAAGAACAGAAATAGCTGACATGAATATGGTTGTTTTAGCCAAATGTGACATTAAAAATCAGATCATTGCTTGTATTTAGAGCTTGTGAGCTCATCAAGCCTGGGTTGAAAGGGCAGCAGGACGGCTCAGGGTTCCAGAGTGGCATGTTTAAAATGGGATCATTGTGAGTAAGAGTCTGTAGGGGATTTAGGGAGCTTAATGACATCCCATGTGATTACTCTGCGAGGACAGGAAATGCCAAATAAGCGTGCTTCTTTCCCAGCCTATTCTTAAACACACACAGCCAGCGATACTAAATTCCAGCTGATGCATTTACTTAGTAATAATTATAGGACGTGCAAGGTTTCTGTGGGTTGGCTTACCCATTGGGTGCCTCATCCTGTGCCTGGGGCTCCCTTTCTCTCCAAGATGTTCCCCTCAGCTTTCTTGCTGGCATGTGAGACAGCAAGCTACATGGACAGCTCAATTTTGGTGCCCTCCCTGCTAGGAGTCAGGGGATGAGGCAAGTCTGCTACCTTGTATAGGAGGAAAAGAACTTGTCAGACTTGCTTGGATGTGGTAGAGATGAGGTAGAACCCCTGGAGATAGGCTTAGCTGCCTTTGTTTCCCTCTTATGGGGGGTCTGTAGAACCTCTTCTGAAGCTTAGCAGGGAGGATAAAGAAACTGGTGAAGTTTTGCAGGCAGTGATTAGGAAATACCAGAAAGATACTTTCCTGGGGAAAAATGCAACTTTACAAATATGCTGTGCCTCCTGAAATTGGAGGATTCTGCTTTTCTCCTTGAGCTTTTTGGTCAGCTTACACCAGCATCACTCTAACTCTGGAACAGGAGCTTTCAGTTACCACCTCCAGCATCTGACTTCCGTGCTTCAGGTACCTAAATGAGAGTTGATTTCTTGTAAAGTCCTTACCCTAATGGAGGAGGACTGCACCTGGCAGTCTGCATCAGCATCTCATTACGTGCTTCTGACTGGAGAAAACAGCAGCTCTGTTCCCATTTAGCTCATTTTTTGCCTAAGATGGTCACACTGGGGTTCTGACCATGCTGATTTCTGGTCATGCTAAAGCCTGAACTTGAGCAGCAAAATATTTTCTCTTAAAAAAAAAAAAAAAAAAAAAAAAAAAAAAAAGTAATCCCTCTTCTCCCTCCCCCACCTCTCTTTTCCTTTCACAGGCCTTAGAATCCAAGTTAGCTGCTTGCAGGAATTTTGCAAAGGACCAGGCATCACGGAAATCCTACATTTCAGGGACCGCTAACAGCAGCGCGATGAGCAGCAATGGCACCAAGTTCCCTCATGCAGGGCATACTTCTTTCTTTGACAAAGGGTAAGCCAGCATGTGTTTGTACACTGAGGGGGGTGGATGTTTCAGGATGCTGTGTGAAACAGAAGTTTTCCTTGGCTTGTTTTTAGCTTTTGTCCAGTAAGACAAATCTGTGCAGCCAGGTTCTCCAGGGGACAGAGGAGCAGCATTCCACTGCAGGCAAATTTGCTTCACTTTGTTCCACTGCAGGCCTTTGCTTCCACTGTAAAGCAAAAAGAAAAGCAAGTTTTTGACGTCTCAGCTGGTGGGATGTCACTGCCTGCGCTGCCCTCTGCTGCCCCAGCTCTTGGTGGCTGCATAAACCTTCTGGTGCAGTGATTGTGCCCTTCACAAGGATCTCAAGCAGGCAGTGGTGGGGCTGCCACAGCTGTTGGAGCGCTTGTGTGCGGGGAGTGCCTGAACTGCAGAGCTGCAGGTTCCCTTAGTAAGAGCAGTAAGTGGGCAGCACTGCTTCCTTGGAGAGTGGTTCTCTCTTTGCCCTTCTCCTCCCTGCTATCAGTGAAAAAGCACATGTTACTGACTGTGAAATCCTTGCTGATAGAAGGGACAGCTGTCCTGTGCCATCCTGTTGTGTGTCAGCCGTAGTGTTTGAGGCAGCATTTGCAGTAAAAACCACCCTGTGACTTGCTCATAGTTGGAGCTTCCTCTCTGGTATGGGGAAGTGGTTCAGCAGGAGGATTTTCCCACAGTCCTTTGTAGCTCAGGGCCCTGTGGTTGCATGAGCAGCCCTGAGGAGCAGGGTGCACAGCCAGGCTCTCCTCCTGTGTTACCCAGCAATAGGGAAACCTGTGCTCAATGGCACTGTGCAAAACACCCTCTGTGCTCTCTGCTGGTGATAGTCTTCCCTATTAGACTTCAAGCCAGAGCAGTTTTAACGCTGATGTTCAGCACATCCTCAAAACAGCATTTATTGGGAGCTTTAAACAACTTAAAGAGTGCCATATAGAAGTAGACAGGCTGGGTTTCTGGAATCCTCCTTGTGGGAGCTGAATCATGTTGCTATGTGGGTAGCAGGGCATGTTGCATCTTAGAAACTGGCAAGAAGAAGAGCTTTCAGAGCTACTGGTGTTTCTTGCTTTTGGAAAAGGGAGTGTTCACATACTTAGCAAGGTCAGCATCACCTGCAAATGGGGCAGACTGCGAGGTTGGCTGCGTACTGGGAGGCTGACCAGGGTCTGTGCATCACCACAGCAGTGGTGGTGGCACCGTGGGCTCCATTTCATGTGCAGGCTGTCAGAGCAGTGCTGGGGAGACATTAGAAGTGTACCTGGGAGGCAGCATGGCTACAGTGAACTGTGGTATGGTAATCAGCTGATTGCTGCGTGGGATGGGAGTCGCTTCTAATTACCTTCTGATTGTCATCACTCTTGCCATCTGGGCTGGCTGCCTGCAGTTCAGGGCAGGCTGTAGCTGAAAAAGGCTTAGAAATGTGTCCCTTTGATAGTGCACTTCCTCAGCAGACTTGAAGGATGCTAACAGACTGGGGAAGTGATGGAGGTGACCAATTTACCTGCATGTTCTTAGAGATCCTTACGCAGTCCCATCCCTCCCCTCTGAACGCAGATGTGCTGCAGGCCGTGGGATCAGCAGCTCACACCTCACAGCTACCTCCCTCGTGGCCCAGGGCCGGGTGCAGCGCTGTGCTGCACGCACACGTAACCCTGCCTCGCTGTGCGTGAGGGCAGAGCAGAGCCCTGCCACCAGACCTGAGTGCATCACAGCGGTTGGCTGAGCCGAGGTTTTGCCCTTTCTTCTCCCCTCTTCTCCTTTCTCTCCAGCCCCTGTTCTCTCTTCCCTGCCCCAAACTGTCGCTGGAGCCTGAAACAGCCACCCGCGCTCCTAGACCCGGTCCAGTCTGCAGCCGCTGCCTTATGAACAGCCAGTTGTTGGGTGGTGGGATTGTGCCAGAGGTAATCCAGCCATGTCATTACGGTTCCATTTGCTTTCCTTTCTCTGCCTTTTTGTTGCTAAAAGTGTTCGAGCCTCCGTGTCTCATCAAACTCCTGCTCTGTGCTTGCTGAGCAGAGCTAGGCGGGCAGCTGAAGCAGGTGTGGAAGCCAGGATAGGAGCAGTTACCTCAGAATCGTTTGAGGGGAGGTTTGGAGAACAGCTGGGCTTGCACGCGAGCTTTGCAGAAGAATTGGAAGGGTCAGGAATTATCTGCTGTGTTGGGTTTTGTTTTTATTTTGTGCTCTACTAAGTCTGGTATAAGATCACTTTCCTGCAGACTGGTTCCTTTAGAAACATGGTGGCTCTGTGTGCACCCCCAGGTCTACAGAGCAGCACCTGAGGGGTGTTCTGTGATGGAAATTTGTTCCTTTGCAGTTAGAATTGTTGTTAGCTGTTAGGGACTGCGATCCACTTGGGGAATAAAATGCCTCTGACCTTGATGGGTGCCGCAGAGGCACGACGACAGCTGAGCTGGGACTGCAGCGAGCCAAGACGAGCTGTTTGTTCCTTGGGGCATGAGCTCCTTGCTCCCAACTCCCTCAGTCCTCTTCTTTTCTTTGAGCATCAGAGCATTGTAGTTGCTGTTTGTTCTGTGAATCTGCTGGGCTGTGTTTAAAAGTGAGAAGTGCCTCTGCTTGCACGCTGCTGGCAGTGCCACCGTGTGAGCAGCTGTGGTGGCAGTCACTGCACCTAGGATCCCTGTCTGCCCTGCAGAGCATCCTTGTGCAGAGCTCAGGGAGCAGCAGCCAGGTGAGGTTCAGTCAAACCCTTTTCCCTGTGGCTTAACTCAGGGTTGTGCCCAAGAATGTCTTCACTGTGTACATAAACTGTTTCACTTTTTCTCCACTAGGCGTGAAAAGGTGATATTCCCCACCTTGGTCATGGGTAAATGAATTCATTTGCAATGATAAGCTGCATGCATTTAACTGCAGTGCTTGGAGGTGCAGAGCTGGTGGATATGCTAACTGCATGAGGTAGTTCTCGTAGCACTGCAAACTAATAGGCAATGATTGAGGCCTGAGGCTATAATCTTTCTCTTTGCTTTAGATAAGTTTCTCTGGTGCTGTGACCAGTTCCAGCTGTAAGGTTGAGTGCTGCTTGCCTTCTTGGTTTAATAACTCTTCAAATATATGCATGTTTCTGATGGAGTCGGATGTGACAGAGATATGGGGTGAAGCATTGCTGCTCTTACCCCAGCTAATCCTGAAGTCAGTGTGTCCTCTGCCTTGTTTCTTCCTCAGCACTGTGCTGGGTGTTGGCCTGCCTTGGAGGGAGCAGGGATGGCCCTTCCCTGCTGTGTGTGCAGTGGGGGCCAGGCTGGGTTATTGGGCTCCAGGACAGTGTTCTGTTGAGGTTCTGTTTGATGCTTAGAGTTAAGAGAGGCTTTGTGCTAAGGATGAAATACAGCTTGAAATACAGATTAACAAGTAAAGATCCAGCTGGAGCAATCACAGGACGGAGAGCAGCTGGAAAAGGGCACAAAATGTGTGCCGTGGTCAGGACAGCAGTCAGAAACACCCAGCAGGAGCTGCTGCAGGGGGGGAATGTTTCCAGCAGGGACTGTTGGCTTGGGATCAGTCTGAGGTGCCAGCCCTGATGGACTCACCATAGAGAGAGCTCTCTGTAAATCAGAGCTGCTGCTTCATCTTCATTTCTGCACCAAGGGTGAGGCCAGCAGTGTGCAGTGTGTGTGCCCTGCCCTGCTGCACCCCGCTCAGCGATGGCTCCTTCTCCTTTTTGTCCCGGGCTTCGTGAAGCTGTTGGTGTCTCCCCAGCTCAGTCTGGGCCCTGCCACATCTGTGTGGCATCTGTGAGGAGGGCCTGACTGCTTCATGGCCTCTGGCCTTGGTTATGTTTCTCTGGGATGTGAAAAGGGCACCTGTGCTGCTGAATGGGCCTCGGAGCAGGGGCTGAAAGGAGTTGCATCCCTTAAAGGTGGAACTCTGCCATTCCTGCCTCGAATGTCTCTTTTCTCTTCCAAAGGAAGCAAACCACTGCTTTTTAATCCCATTTATTTTTTCGTTCTCCCCTGCACTGCTTGGCAGAGCTGCTCTCTCCCTGATAAGTCATTTGCAGAGTCATGTTGGGACCAGGTCGGCTTCCTGCCCCTTCATTCACGTGGAAATAGCAGGGTGCATCTGCTCTAAGGACTCTTCCAGTGGTGTTTTGCTGCATGGAGGCACCTGCCTCTGAAACACACTGCAGGTCGTGTCTCAGTCAGTTGAAATTTCAGCCTTAACAGGAAAGGAGGCAAAGGTTTCCCCCCCACAGCCCCGTGTGGGGTGCGACAGGCTCTGCTGGAGGTGGGGAGGGCTCTGCAGCAGCATTACCATGGGAAGCCAACCTTGCTAGCAGGCATTCAGGTTCTTCATCTGCTCCTCTGGATCAGCGCTGTAATTGCTGGGCACAGGGAGCACGGGGGCAGCAGTCGGGTGGGTGTGCTGTGCTGTTGAGGGGTAACTGCATCTCCTCATCAAGGCTGGGCTGACGGCAAGCAGCGGACGGCGAGCTTAGGTGCTGTGTGCGGAGCCGAATTGAGGAGATCAAAACCCAAACAGGGTGGAGGCTGCGGAAGGCTGTCACACACGTGTGCTGCTCCCTGGGCTGTGTGCCTCGCAGCTGAGAGCAGCTGTGGGAAGGGGTGAGCTTGTGGTTTGCAGCTGGGTGGAGGCTGTGGGTTCGAGGGCTCAGCAGGGAGGGGTGGGGGAGGCCTGGAGGCCCTGGAGCCCTTTTACAGCCCCAGCTCCGCTGTGCTTTACTGTGTGCTGCCTGTTCTCACTGAGCCCATTCTCCATTGCGCGGTTGCACTGCAGCTGTGTGAGCGTGTGCAGGTGGACGGACGGATGCCTCCACTGTGCTGGGATCAGCCTGTGTTGAGCCTCCAGTTGGGCTGGAGGGGAGCCAGCCCTGCCTGGCTGTGCCCTGAGGGCTGCCCGGAGCCCGCAGGCTGGGAGCAGCTGCTGCTGGGCAGGAGGGAAGGACGTGGGGAACGGGCCTGGGGGGCAGCTGAGCTGCCTGTGGCTGTGCCACCCCTGAGGCCATCGCCCCTCATCCTCTGCGTGGCCCCTGTGCAGTCAGCACAGCGCTGCCCCTGGGTGTGTGTGCGGCAGGGAGGTCTGGGATGGAGGGTCTGGGCTCAGCCCCAGGGTGGGCTGGTACTGACCTGCCTGTCTCTTGTTGCTTCTCAGGGCAGTAAACGGCTTTGATCAAGGGACCCCGGGACTGGGAGCCTCCAGACCTTCCTCAGCACCTGGCATGCTCCCCCTGAGCGTATGAGTCGGCGCCAGGCTGTGCTTGGACTCGCGGACGCTTTTCTCGGCCCAACAAGAGAAGTGCTTTGGTTTCCTCCCCCTCCCTGCCCCGCAGGAACAGGACCTGCACCATGGCATGCAGCAGTGCCCGTGCTGCTGGAGGAGAGCCCATGCTTGCAGCCTTTCGTGTCCTGTTAATAGAGTTAACTGTAGTGGGTGTGCCCTGCGGCCCCGTACCACGTGTTGCACAAGCTGACACATAGTGCTCTGTTGCAGGGGATGCAGAACCTCAGCCAGGTGCTGCTCGACCTGTCACTGCATCTCTTTTCTCAGTTAGGTTTGGTGTGACAAAAACATTTGCTGCTTTTCTTGAAGGCTACGCCTCTCCCTGCCTGATCTCACATCCTGCTGTTTGAGCCAACCAGCTGCTGTCCTTCCCCGTGGGGCTCAAACCTCTCAAGACGCACTGAGCGAGGCTGGGAGCAGGAGTGGAGGCTGGCAGTGAGCTCTGGGGGTGTGAGTGAATGCAGCATAGAAATCACTGCTGGACAGGTGAGCAGCTGGCTGTGTCCATAAGGCCCTTCCCCAGCCCAGCAGATGGAGGTAGAGCTGGTGCTGGCGTGGGGCTTTGCTGAGGAAGGCCCAGCACACATCATTTAGCACCAGTGCCCTTAGCGGCTCTGGGCTGAGCTTGGCTGGAGCCTCCTCCCGTGGCACAGGGCCTGCAGCGAGCTTTTTCCCATGTGCCTGAACCATCCCAGCACTCTGCCCTCCTTTGTGGCACTTCTGCCCCCCCAGCCAGACATCAGCTCTTTAGGAAGCCGCTCAGCCCATGGACTGCAGTGCCCACGAACTGCCTCCTCCCAGCACCCTGTATCCCTCGGCCCCATGTTCAGCTCTGTAATATAGGACGGGATTTCAGTGTCACCTGCAGGCTTCTGTGACAGTTTTGGGCAACTGTGTTCCTTGTGGGTCTTTCAGGCGATGTATTTGTGCGAGTTCTCTGTCGCTGTGCCTCAGAGTCGGTGGATTTTGATGTGAACCAATGAACCCCAGGGGGGTCTGAGGAAAAAAAAAAACCTTCCCAGTTTGGTCCATCGCGTTCCTTGGCTCTGCAGCTGTACATTGGTTTATTTACGAGCGCTGAGAGAAACCATCGGCCCCAGCAGAACAGAGGTGGGAGCGTTTCCCCCTTTGCCCTTAGGGCCCCTATGGTCCTCTTTTCCTGTGCATCCTCTGCTGCATTTGACTGTTTACATTTGTTTTATTGTACATAGGTTTGTAAACATATTATCTTTGCCTAAGATCTTTGTACATAACTTAACTTGGGCTTTGTAGCTTTATTTATTCAAAGTCTATATGGCATGTTTCAGTAGGACAGTGTACCATAACACCGTGGGCACACAGCATAATGTGGTTTAAAGACAAAAAAAAAAACCAACAACCAAAACCTGAGAGTAATATTCCCAAAATAAAGTTCTTTTAATGTGGAATCGGTGGATTTTGCAGAAGAGGCAGCGGTGGCTGTGTTTGTCCTGCAGTGTTTTTGGCTGAGCTGGAGGGCAGGGTGGGAGGCACTGCTCTTCTGTGCAGCTCCTGCCCCTTAGCTTGGCACTGCACACACTGTTGGTGCACGGAGCCAGCGGGGCTGAGCGCACCTCTGCTCCCCGTGCTGTGGGGCAGGAATCTGCTTGGGCTCCTGGTGGAGGTGTCCAGCTGCAGGCAATGAGGGGCAGTGCTGGCCGGGCTGCCAGGACCCCACGCACCCCCCCAGAGCTGTGCCTGCTCCAGCGCTGCCCCCAGCAGCAGAGCCCTGTGCTTCCCCAGGTACTCATGGCCTCCATCCCACTCCTGACTCACGATCACAGCACAGCCTTCCTGCTGCTGCCCCGCAGTGGCAGCCCGTGGAAATGCCTCATTGGCAGCTGGTGTCGGGGCAGAGGCGCGCCTGCATCCATGGCAGCTCCTTCCTGGGGGAGAAGTGCTGGGCAGGAGGAGAGGGGACACCACGTGGACAGGGCTGCCTTCATTGCGGTCAGTTGGAAAATGCCCTACCAGCAATAACCTGCTCTTGCACAGAGCCCGAGTGGCCACAGTACCACAGGGAGATGGGAGCACAGGCTGTGACACGTGGGGCACAGCACCACCTCTGCAGCACTCAGATCACAGGGCGGTGAGGCTTCTTCCTTTGCAACAGGAGGAGCAGCAGCACAGCTGAGAGCAGCCCGTGAGGAGCAGGGCAGGAGCTGGCAGCAGGGCACCACGTGGACAGAAGCAGCAGCCCGGCCCAATGCGACGCTCACAGCCCACGCTTGGTTGCGGCCCATCTGTGCAGCTCCCACGGCTCCCAGCTGCAGCACTGAGCTCCCAGCTCTGCCACCCCCCTGCTGCCAGTCCTGGCTGCGGAGGCAACAGGCGCAGCTCTCCCTGCTCCCAGGAGAGGTCAGACCTGACAGCTACAGAACTGGAGCTCGGAGGACGGGAAGCGTTTGGAGGCATTGAGATCCCTTTGTGATCCAGAGCTGCACTCCATGGAAGTTGTAAGGCTCAGCCCTCGCCCAACACTTCACGCTGTACTGAGGTAGAAGAGAGCAAAACAGAAAACCAAAACACTAAGAAGGGAGGCTTCCAGCCATATTCTCATTTATTAAGGTCTATGCCAGCCTCAAGAAATAGCTCTTCCTGTAAGTAAACAGAGCAGGCGGCCACAGCTATAATGAATAAATTTATTGTCTTACAAAAATCATTGTCTAGAAATATGGGTATACAAGAAAACAAGATATTTGCAGTCAGATGCCTGGTGGTCAACAGCCAGTTTGATTAAAAATACCCAAACACACAACACAACCTTTGCGACAGATGTTAAAGCTTTTAACCAAAAAAAGGAAATCCGTATCTGTTTGTTGGGCGCGTGGCAGAGGAAGGTTCCTATTAACACTGATTCATCGTCACTAATATCCATAATACCACTTGGACTAGAGAGGTACATGATATGAAGCACAGTCAAAATTAATACATTAAATCATCGTTATATAGGCAAATTATATATGTAACATTGTCTTAGTACTGTAGTGTCTAAGGCACTTTCTGTAATGTCAGTTTTTCAGCTATTTAAACAAAAAGAACGCTAACTACTCGCTGTAATACTGCTCAAAATAAAAAACAACAGCAACAACAACAAAAGAAGGATTCACATCCACTGGCTTGTTAACTGCAGGCAGGCAACACCCTCTGTGCAGCGCTGGCAGCGCGGCCGTGGCACCGTCCTGAAGTTCATAAATTACTGCGCCTGTGCTGATGCTTGTTTTCCACTGGTGTGCACATTGAACTAGCCTTAGTGTATATATACAGAGCTGGTGGGCATGGAAGAGCAGGATGCTACAGCTGCAAAGTACTGTACAGAGAGGAACGGTGACGCGGTTTGCCTGTACTGCATGACACTAATGGATGAAGCAGGTGCTGAGAACACTCCAAAATGGTTCTGAGGGTTAAAAAATGGACACTACTCACTCATCCCTACGCTTCCCTCTAACGCTTCCCGAGGCTCTTCACAGTTCACTCCCTGATTGTGTGCCGATCACAACAGTTAGGAGAAAAAAAGATGCGGGTGCGGTTTGGTCTTCAACGATCCGAGGGGCTCAGTGCAGCCAGGGCTGCCCGAGCACAGAAGAAATGGAAGGATGTTGTCTGTACAAAGCATGCTGAGCCATGCCAATGGGGCCGTCCCAACCACCTACCCTCTGGGAATGAAGTTTCGTGGGGTTTTTTTAACCGATACAGAAAGTTTCATCCTTCACATGATGCTTTATAAAATGGCTTTACAATGAGTGTCTGGAAAATAGATGCACTGAACAGAGACGATCCCGTTTTGTTACTACATGTAAAAAAAAAAAAGCAGTTGTACCTATATCTGAAGCGGGGTACAGTATGGTGAGGCTGGAGAGCCTTAAGACATAGTTGACCTACGGTAAGTAACCTTGTAGCATGCCGACATTTTGTAAGGCAGATTTAGGGCCACAAGGCAGCCTGGTGGTCAGGAAAGTCCTCCTCGCTCTGCCCACTGTGGTGTAAAGGTCTCTGCATGCAAACGGTGTGCGGGGCTCTACTCAGCAGGGCTCGGCTGCGCCTCGTTCACGTCGCTGCCTTTGCTCTCCGCGTCGTCATCCGAGAGCTCCAGGGAGGCCCCTTCGATGTGCAGCTGGCGCCTGCCGGATCGGCTGGAGGAAAAGGTGATGGGGCCGCCCCTCCTGCAAGCATCAAGCAGAGAACAGCCTTTGCATCGTCCTCACGCTGCCCTGACGGCTCCCAGCTGAGCTGCAGGGGCACAGCGCTGCCCCAGGTTCCCAGGAGGAGCGTTGGAAGCACTGCTCCCATCACAGGACGTCCACAGACGTTCTGCTGCTCTGCTTATTTCACACCACGCACTGAGCAGGGTGGGTTCTTCAAAAGCAGCTTGCTTAGGAAGCGCTGCACTGCACCCCTCCTGCCACTGCTGGCCCTGCAGCAGCCCGGGATGGCTTTCCTCCTGCAGCCTCCCCTCCTCCAGCCCCGCTCAGTACTGGATACAAATGCTGAGAGCAGAGCTTTGCAATCCAGGTGTGAAAAGCTCCCCTGGAGTCGGCTGGGAGCAACACAATCAGTGCTTGCCACTAGAAGAGCATAACTCAGCCATGTCGCCTCCTGCTGCTGGACTCAGGTACCGGCCCCAGCCAACCCAGGATATACGCTCTGAAGAGTTCTAGCTCAAGAGCCATCAGGAACATCTTCACAGCCAGCAGCTGCCTCAACCATCACATCAGGCTCAGGCATCAGCTCCCAGCAGACTCCAGTGCAGCCCATCCCCTAACAGCAACAGCTCTGCTTCCACAGCTCCACAGCTGAGCGGTCCCCAAGGACGCAGCATTACAGACACGGTCAGAGGGCACCCAGATGAAGCCCTGCCAACTCCTGCACCACGTACCTTAACCTGTTTTTCAGGGTGCTGACCTCCCTGCTCAGGCCCTCGTTAGCTTCTGTGGCATCGTCCAGCTCACGCTGCAGTTTACGTCGGGAAGCATTTGCACGTGTGGCTTCCTCCTCAGCCTCCTCCAGCTGACGCTTCAGCTGCTTCATCCTGGCATTTGCTTTTTCCATCTAAAATAAAAAATCAAGTTGTCATGATCAAACTCAGCAGCTGCAGCCCTGCATCGTGGAAAGGCAGAGAGGTTCTCCAGCGCCCCAACCACCCCTGCTGGAGACGGAGCCTCAGTGCAGACTCCCATCTGGATTCAGCCCACAACTCCTGGGTCTCAGAGATGTGCATAACACATCATCACATGTGATGTGATGTGATGGGGCCGCCCCTCCTCCAAGCATCAAGCAGAGAACAGCCTTTGCATCGTCCTCACGCTGCCCTGACGGCTCTCAGCTGAGCTGCAGGGGCACAGCAGGGCTATCGCAGGGAGCAGGCAAGGAACCGCTCCACCAGTTCACCTATCGAGACTGGGATTCCCTCACGTCTTCATTAAAAAGCTTCTTAACGATGCCTTTCCACTCAAAGCAGGCTTTTTCCCATCTTTCCCAAGCACAAGCTAAGCCACTCCACCCACCTGCTCCTTGTATTGGTCTGCGTGTCGGCGCTCGTCCTCCACCTGCATGAAGACTTCTTTTAATTTCTTCTCTGTGCGTCGCACCAGTTTGTTTGCAGCTGCTCTTTCCCTGGAAAGGATCAGAAGCCACGTGGAGGCTGTGAGCACCAGCTTTAGAAGCATGCAGTACAAGCACTGAGCAGCACAAGTACCGTCAGAGGGCTGAAAGGAGGCACAGGGATGTGCTTCTACACAGCAAGATTCAACAGAGCAGTGCTAAGCAATGTCATGGTCCTGAGCCAAACGCCCAAGAGGAATGAAGGTGGGGATAAGACAGCCCACTTTCAATCTTCCTAAGACAAGGCAGGGAAAAAAAAAGTTGGAGGACTGAGATGGAAAGCAGCAGCCTGGAGAAAGACGACTTTTCCAGAGCACAAGATTTACTTCAAAGAATGTCTGAGGTGAGGAGGGACCCCTGTAGGCCATCTGCTCCAACAGGGCCATCAGAGCTGCTTTTCCATACCCAGCAGCTTTTGAATGCCTCCAAGGAAGACACCCCACAATCTCTCCACAACCCGTGCCAGTGCTCCGTCACCCCCAGTCAAAAAGTGCTTCCTGATGCTCAAGTGGAACCCTCTGTATTCCAGCTCCTGCCCACTGCCTTCTGTCCTGTTCCCGGGCACCACTGACAAGAGCCAGGCTCCATTCTCTGCACCTCTCTGATGGATGTGTGTACAGAGATGGTGTCCCCTATCCTCCTCCAGGCTCTGCAGTCACAGCTTTAAGCCCTTCCTCACAGGAGAGAAGCTCCAGGTCCTTCAGCATCCCTGTGGCCCTCCTTCCCTTTAAAGCCTAACCCATAGAGACCAGTGTCTCAAGGAGATGTTTGGTCTTAAGAAGCTCCTACTGAAGCAGCTGTGGTTTCTGGGACTGCCAGTCCACACAGTCACAGAATCACAGAATGGCCAGGGTTGGAAGGGACCTCAAGGGTCATGAATCTCCAACCCCCTGCCACATGCAGGGCCACCAACCACAATCACTTGTTAACTTCAAGAAATACATCAGCAGTTTCAGTTAAGGGGCACACACTGAAACTTTCAGCCCCAGTGCATCTGATTCAAGTCAGTCCCTCCAACAGGTTTCTAAATACTAAAACCTGCTAGCTGTGCAGGAGCTGTGACCTCACACCTCAGCCCCACAGTACCTCAAGGCACGGATGTCTCAGACACTCTACTGACAGCACACAGATTTTTCCTTACTTTGCTTCCTGCTCAAGCTGTTCTTCTAGCTGAGCAATCTTGGCCTCTAGAGTAGAAATCGTTGCCTTGAACTTTGACTTCACCGATCCCTCCAGCTCCTGCAGCTTGGCTTTCAGCTCCTTGTTCTGCCTCTCCAGCTGCTGCCGTGCATTTTCGCTCTTCTGCGCGGCGCTGCGCTCCCCGGCCAGCTCAGAATTCAGCGTGTCAACCTTTCAGAGGAGGGGAACGGATCACTTGGAGCCATGCACAGCCTCCACTCGATCCAAGCACGAGCTGTCCTGACAGCAACCGCCAGCAACTCACCTGCAGCGTGGTTTTCCGGAACCGCTCGTTGAGAAGCTCCATGTTGCTCTGCTCTTCTTCCAGCTCCTCCTCCAGCTGTGCAATGCGAGCCTCCAGCCGGCGCTTCTCATCCAGCAGCGCTGACCTAGGAGAGAAGCACTGGGCTCAGCACACGTTCAGTGCGATGCACAGCCGGTCGCTTTGCATTCACGAAGACGAATGAACACAGAATTTGCCATCAGGCTTTTGAGCACCGCAGCTGCTGCTGCCTGAAGCCCTTCAGATGCTGATACGCCTGACGACTCACTTTCCTGAAGCGCTGTTTGCGATCTCATCAGCCAGCTCGTCCCTTTCCTGCTCAGCGTGACGGCGGGCTCGTTCAGATGCTGCAAACTCCTGCAAAGGTTTCAGAAGAGACGTGTTATGGATCTCAGAAGGCCTGGAAACAGTTTGTCCTTGGAGATGCTTCTGGGAGATGCCTGAAAGGTAATATTGCTGCAATCACAGAACCATAGAATGGCCTGGGTTGCAAAGGAGCACAGTGCTCATCAGTTCCAACCCCCTGCTGTGTGCAGGTCGCCAACCAGCAGCCCAGGCTGCCCAGAGCCACATGCAGCCTGGCCTTGAATGCCTGCAGGGATGGGGCATCCACAGCCTCTAAAACACACGAACAACAGCAACACTGAAGCTGTAAGAAGTAAGAAAACAAACAGACAGTGCTGGACTGATCACAGTGTGCTACATGCTCAATGTAAAATGGGCACTATGTTAAGCAAGCTGAGCTTCTTACACCTCCAGAGTACACAGCACCAATGCAAGAAAAGAGAACAGACTGTGGGGCTTCAGCACAGTAGAATAAACAGCACTGAATTTCACATCTGAAACTGTATTACGTGGCAGAAAGTCAGACTTCAGTGGTCCACTGAGGTGGGATGGTGGGATTCCTGGTCTTTCTGCATTTCCAATCCCCAGTGTCAGTACTGACAGTGTGCACCACAACTCGCAGAGACTCCTGAACCTCCCTGCAAGTTCAGTGAGGCCTCATATCTCATAAGCTGTCATGCAGCTCAGACAGAGAAGTAAAGGATTCAGCTGGAATGATTCCACTGAAGCCCGAGCTCACCAGAGAGCTGCTGAAGGAAGCAGGGTGATGGGGTGGGAAGAGAAAGCTCTCCTGGCTCCCATTTCTGCTCAACACAGCAGGACAGATTTTCACTCCTACTGCCCAACCTTCTCCTTACTCTACCAAGGAAAATAAGCGTGGTGAAGTTCACTCTCACCTCCTGGAGCTGAAGTATTTCTGCTTCCAGACCTTTCAGTTTCTTTTCACTCTCCTTGGACTGAGCAAAGATCTCGTCTCTGGACGCACGCGCCTCTTCCAGCTCCCGCTGGTAGTCCTTCATTTGAGCCTGCGGTTGGAAAAGTCCCACAGCCACGTTGCATTAGGGAGCCACGAGATCTATCAGGAGCTCTGAAGCATTTTTGCCCCTTTAGAGGAAAGGTCTCCTTCCCCCAGAGCGACTTCATTCCATTTCAATGCACCTTCAATTATTTTTACAATTTAATTTCATTTTCTTGTCTCCATCATGCATTCCTCATCACAAATATCCTATTATAGGGCTTTCCTTAATTTGTTTGGTATATTTCTTGTGGAGAAAAGAACTCAAAGAGCTGTTCAATTACATTTGTTGTGGAACTCGTGGAAAAGATAAGGCTTTTGGAGTGATTTGGGGAAAAAAATCTATGTACTTTGACTGGAAAAGCGTATTTCAGTTATACAAGGTAAAACTGACCTCAGTGCAGCAGTACCAAACCCACTTTGTACAGACAGGCTAGAAGCTTGTGCTTAGCTTCTACTTACACACACTGCTAAGACCTCAGTGTGTGTTAAGCTGCACCAGTTTGACTTAAAAAGAGCATGAAAGCTTTGACTAAAAGAGCATGAAAGCTGGAGAGAAGCTGCATTTAAATTAGACTTGCATCTTTGGAATGCCTCCAATCCTGAGAATACTTATTTTGGGTGCTTGCATGAAGGCACACAGAGCTCAGCAACAAGATCTCTACCTGACCTGTCCTGGAGGGGAGCACGATGCTGTCAGGCACCAGCATGGCCTGCTTCAGCCTTCCCTCCTCACCCACAGCCTGGACTCTGGCCCAGAGCTGTCTCTGTTCTGTTGGACTGGCAAGGCACAGAGAGGACAGGGCAGAAAGGCACCTTAATTTGCTGTGTGCCTTATGTGGCCTTGCCATGATCTCACACTTCTGCAGCTCTGGACCACGGCACTGAGAAATCTTTGGCAAAACTCAACTCTACCAAATGTTGAGCATTTTTCTGGGAATGGGAAATAAATCCTCAGTGCAAGGACTGAGATCTCTTGCCAAAGAAGAAGAATGAGCAACTTGGAGCTTTTTAAAAGCAACTGGAAGTTACTCTTCTTTTTCTCTGAAGCGCTTTTGGCTGACAGTGCCTTAAGATGTTCTTGAGGAAGCAGCAATCAGGAACAGCTGAGCCCAAATCAGCAAATTCAAAGACATAAAATTTAAAAAATGTGCCCTGTAAAGCAATATGCAGCAAATCCTTCAGAAAAGTGTTGAAACAAAGGAAAAGACCACGACTGGCCAGAAGTCCATGGGGGCAGCCTTAACTCCGTACCAACAGAAGGATGACAAGAGATGCTGTGTTCAGGCCGGACAATCTGACATGCCAGCAGTCGAGTTTCGACACTCCTGCTGCCTCCTGACTACAGATGTGTTTAATGAGAAGCAGCAGACGTGACTGTCAGCACAGGACAGAGCACAGCTCACGAGCTGGGCTTACCTGCAGCTTACGCAGCTGTTTGATGGCTTCATCTCGAGCCTTGTTTGCAGCTTCTATCTGACCCTCCAGGTCCTTCAGGTCCATCTCCATTTTCTTCTTGGCTGCTACAGCAAGAGCCCTCTGCTTGCGCTCATCCTCCAGCTCTGCCTCCAGCTCTCGCACCTGTGAGGTGAAGGCATTTAGCAGATCTGTGCCAGCAGTGGAACCAACACCAAGTCCCAACTAATGGTCTGAGAACCCAAAAGGCCTTTGCACAACTGAATGAATGTGACTTGATTGGAAGAGACTACAGAATGCGAGCTAAGGGGAAGACACTGCAGATGGCAAAAAACAAATCCACAAATTGGAAGCAGAGATCTCTGATCTGACAAAGAAGGAAACAGACAATAACTCACTGTTAGAAGCATTCTCATTTCATCTGTTCAGCTACTTAGTGATCATGAGTTATTTCTCTTTTTGTATATAAAAACCAACTTCACTCCTTATGTTAACATCAAGGGCTCCCATCCTAGGCAAGTTAATGACAATTTTTGCATTGTAAAACTTCAGAAGCCTTCCAAGGCTGTTTGTTTCTACAAGATCCACATATTAGAGATTCTCAGCTATTCAGTAAGATCAATGCTAGAGATCTTTTATAGGGTGGGGTCTTTAAGGAAATGATTTTATTTTCTAGTAGTAAGTTAGTAAGGAAGCCCAAAACTTTGGCAACAGGCCTCACACCCTTCCCTCTTTGAAGTGCAATGAAGTGCAGTAAACCAGACATACTTGTTTGACCAGCATCCTCTTTTTCTCTTCATTCTGCTCATCTCTGGCTTGCAGATCTCTCTCAAACTGGGCTTTCATAGCTTGCATGTTCACCTCCAAACGAAGCTTAGCATCTTCTGTGGCCTGCAGTTCATCTTCCAGTTCCTCAAGTTGAGTTCTCATCTCTTCCACCTGTTGCTCTAAAGTTCGCTTGGATTTCTCCAGCTCATGGACCTAAACCACAAGCATTTATCAGACCCTCTGCTGTCTAAACAAGAGTGTTAGTAACAGTGAAGGAAGGCACGGACACAGCAGCTCTGCTTTGTGATGATGTCTGAATCAGAACAGCAGAGAAGCTTTTCTAACTGCACAACAACAAAAAGCTGTGTAGATTATGAGGAGGAGGAGCTGTGCAGTCAATGTGACAAAGAGAACACACTGAGACAAGCTCTTGAATCTCGAGCAGCCATTTAGCCAGCAACTTCTGCCCTCCATGGTCTCTTTGGAGGATGTGATTAAGCCTGAAATGTTACCTCCAGACTCCGTGCATTCATACCTCGAGTAGTTTGTGTTACATAATGCTTTCTGTCGTGTCAAACATCCCCTCCAGTGAGGGAGTTTTACTGTGCTATCCCCCATGTAGTGTAACAAAGTAAAAGGAGGAGAAGTACTTACATTTTTGCCCACATCATCTTTAGAACTCATTAAGTCCTCCATATCTGCACGCAATTGTTTGTTCTGTCTCTCAAATTCTTCCTTTGCTTCCAGGGCTTCTTCCAAAGCCCGAGCCAGAGACAGTGCTTTTGTTTCCTTCTCCCTTGCCTCTGCCTCAGCACGATCTCTCTCCTCTGCATATCTAGCAGAAATGTTCTTCTCTTCTGCCAGCATCTGAACAACAAAATCACACAAACAGACAAATCAATCTCCTTGTTCTATAATCAGCTCCTTACAGCCCTGTGTGTTACAGTCATTCAAGTGGTCAATGGTTTAGGTTTAATCAGCCTTCAGAAGTTCTCTCTGGCCTTTTAGGATGTGGTCAGAGCGCTGGTTAAGGAAACAGCTGAGGCTGTTCAGGGATGAGATGAGGAAAGAAAGCTGTCAGTCAACACGAATGTGTTCAATTTGACTTTTGGTCCTCCTGTCCTTTCTTACTGTAATCCCTCAAGCTTAACTAAAGCTTTTTAAGTCGAGTTTCTGTTCCAATATCATTTCCTTTTGCACACGTAAGGAGCTTATTTCGTGATGAAACAGAACTCAAAGGTGACACGTAGCTCACGGGGTGCCCACCCATAAAAGGGCCACGATGCTCCCATCAGAGTCATCAACAACCACTGTGCTCTGGCTGGATTCTTCTATCTCCAACATTAATGCAGTAACTACTGAAGCAAACGCCATGTAAAGATTGTAGTAAGATGACAGGAAATTAGATTACCTGATCGAATTTCTTCTGCTTTTTCTCCAGGTTAGACACAATCTGGCGCTGATGATCCAGATCTACCATCAAGTCATCCAGCTCTTGCTGCAGGCGATTTTTTGTCTTTTCCAGTTTGTCATAAGCCATTGCCTTCTCTTCCAGGCGTTGGCTTAAGGATTCCATATCCTTCAGCAATTTCTTCTTATTCTCCTCCAAACCTTCAATTGTTCCCAGGTCATCATCTACCTTCTTCTTAGCCTCTGCTAACTGAAATGTATCAGAAAAAGATAATAGTGCTTAACAAAAGCATCAAGCCCAGACTACAAAACCACAAACAGCTGCTATTGCTGGCTAAAGTAACACAAAAATGGTGAGCCAGCAGCAAACAAAACAGAGCCACGTTCTGCCCGTTACAGTTGGTTGTGCCAATCATTGCTGCAGTGGGGGAAGAACACAGGAAGCACCATTCAGAAATGCAATCCACCATTTCTGCAAGTTAGATCACAGGCTGTCTTGAATTGCAAGGGACCCTGAAGACCACCCAGTTCCAATTCTCTGCTATGACCAGGGCACCTTCCACTCACAGCAGGCTGCTGAAGGCTGTGCCCAGCCTGAGCCCCTCCAGGGACAGGGCACCCACAGCCCCACAGACACGGCACACAGCCTGGCTTGGCGACTTCAGATGACATCTTCCCCAGTTTTCAGACCTTACAGACGTCCTGCCCTGTGCAACAACCCACCTGTGCCTGCAAGGCCAGCATCTGTTTCTCCAGGTTCTTCCTGGCCTCCTCCTCCTCTTCCTGCTGCTCTTGCAGGTTGTTCTTCTCCTCTTCCAGCTGCCTAATTCTGCTGCTCAGGTTGAGTTTCTGGCGGGTTTCTTCCTGAAGTAGCTCCTGTCACACAGATATTCAAAGCTCACTTTGACTACCATCCTCCATTGCTCTATCAAGAGTTTCAGGCTTAATTATTTTTCTTGCAAGATTCTCGTTCAGTGACATGCTTATGAAAACAACTGAAATTCAGTTTTCCAGTAAGGCAGTAAACATTCATTTGGGGCAAACCTCTCTAAAGCTTATTTCTGATAAGGGAATGTATGCCACAGTATTCTAGAAGTTCATAGATAATATTTTTCCTTTGTTTAGAAGGGATGAGCTGAGAAATTATCTTTAGAATTTGCTTTTCCTCTTTAGCATAGAACACCTATTTGAAATGACCTAGGAATAAAAAAGCAGCAGTAAATCTTGCAGTGGCAGCACACTGAAGCTTTGCTGTACTGCAGCAATCTAAAAGTCAGTTGAAAAAACAGCTGTAATGTGGTAATAAAAGCTGTCATAATAGAAATTAATGAAGGTGTAGCAACCTTCCCTCAGCCCCCTTCCTCACTCACCTTTGTGCTTAACATCATTCAGGTAGTCCCCATTAGCATTTCTACACCTGAAGAAGTGTATTTGAGTGATAATGCCATGAAACCTACATTATTTAAAATAAACAACAGCTACAGGCAGTTTTAAGACCTTAAGCTGTAAGAAATGCTACCAGCCCTCACCTCGAGGCACCTTCCATATCCTTCAAGAATCTCATTCACATCAACATTCTACTTGGGAGAGCTTTTCCTGACTAAACACTTATCTCCCACAGACTACAAAACAGAACAGAAACTGAAAGGTTACTGTCTATCAAATAGTGCACCTCTGATCATGAAAAACTGGCCTCACACGTAGCTGAGCAGTCGTTTACACGTCATATTTCACTGGACACAAAGAGGAAGTACAGATTCTATTCAGTGGACTTTCAAAGCCACGAATGAAAACGTGTTTTCTGCTCTGCAGTCAGCAGTTTGGTAAGGAACAAAGCTCAAGCGCAGATCTCAGGCTTTGCTGCACACACACCTGTGTATCCTGAAGCTGGGATTCCAAACTAGCTGCATCCTTGGCAAACTTGATGCCTTTCTTCTCTGCTTCCTCCAGGAGACTTGAGACATTATCCAACTCATTCTGCAAAGCAAGCAGCCTCAAGGTAACAACAGCATGCAGCTGACTCATGGCAAATCCTGATCCCACTGGGAGCTGGAGCTTCAGAACCAGCCTCAGATTCCAGGTATGCAGTGACAACAGTAGCCCCCAGTATACAGGTATCACAAACTAAATGTAACCTTAAGTTGGATGCCAGTATTGAGCTTCAGTGGTGTAAGATGGCAGCTATGCCATTTAATGGAACATGTCACTCCAGTATCTGCAGGCCAATATTCTGCACTCATAGTCAAGTGTTATTCTTAATTATGGGACTACATGGGAGCATGAATTCAAGGATTATCATAATGACATCTGGCTTTAAGGCCTCTGCAAAGGCCACCAACATCAGGTGCCAACTCCAGTTACTTTAGACTGTGTTTCTTAGGGGCTACTGTAAGAGGATGCATGAAGTCTTCCTCTGAAATGAACTGGGCCATCCCCATTCTGAAGGGCATTATGTTGATTCACCTCACATGTCAGCCCTGGTCCTTTTTTGCTCATTTTCTCTATTTCCCAAATAATGGGACTTGCATTCCTTACCTGCCAAGATCCCAACTCTGAACACAAAAGGCAACCAGTGACTTTCAGCACATTTTGCTCGCACCTCCACATGAGAACAGCCCAGTCTGCTCAGCCCTCTATCCAAGATCAAACCTGAAGGCCAGCAGCTGGCAAAGCCTCCTTCAGGATTTGGTCTCCGGGATGGGAACGCACTCAGAAGGCACCATTAATTATTACACAGCTGACACTCAGAAGCCTGAGCTTTTGGGGCTATTTTTTTCAGAGGTGCGCCATCACTTTAAGGCTCCTGAAGTCCCCGCCAGCAACACGATGAGGTCACTGCCCACCTCTGGCACCCAGGAGCCCAACTCCCGCAGCCCCAGCTGCATCTTTGAAGGATGCTTCGCCCAGTTATTTCTGCAGACATCTGAAGTTTTTCACTTCCTTGCCTATTTTTCAGCAGCTCAGGACTTCCATAAAGCCTTACCTGCAGCTTGTTGGCTTTCTCCGCCAGCTCCACCCTCAGCCTTTCGCCTTCTGTCACCTTAGCAGTCAGTTCTTGTACCTGAGCATCAAGCTTCTTCCTCTTATGCTCAGACTCTGCCTTGACCTGCTGCAACACCTTCACCTCACAGGCCAACTCCTTGTTGTCAGACTCCAGGCCTTGCTTGTTTTTTTCAAGATTTGCTTTGAACTAGGAAAGAAAAAAAATGAAAGAAATCCAACACTTTGTTACATGCATCAATAAAGAAATCTGCTTCAAAAAGATTGTAACTCAGTCCAGCAAATCCACGTTACAAGTTCAAAGATGAAACAAGCACTCAGCAAGCTGCAAGTCCAGTGCTTAGCATGTTGCCAGCTAACATTCTGTGTACGTTAGACAAACACGAGTTAATGCCAGTTAATCCACTTTCAGACACTGCAGGTATCAGCGAGCACCACAAGGCTCCTCTGTGACTTCAGGAAGATCTGGGACATCAGTGCTGTAAAATGACTGTTAGAGTGGCTCTGTAAGTAGGAAGGAATGTGCCCATTAACAGACCAGCATGGCTCATCTCACAGAAATAAAAGGAAAGATATCAGCTGAAGTTGCCCTGATTTTAGTAGGCGTAGCAGGCAGCAAGTGCACAGCAAAGCACTTTCCACCACTGCACTGACATTTGTCAAAAAAATCTTTTGAAACACCTCTTATGCCAATTATTTTTAAGTCCCATTCTTACTATTAGTTCTGTCAGTTCCATTCTCACCAAAACTGACACCATTTTCTCAGAGGACCCTTGTTGAAGATTGCAGGGAATTTTTTTCATTTTTCATGCCCTGCTGTTGGCATTTATTAAACAAGAAGCAGAGCATGCAAGTTCTTCCAGTGAAAAAAACTCATTTTCCAGCAGTTTAACTGCTGCATTTCTCACTCAGTATTTTCAGTTAAGGAATCCTGTGAGTTATTCCCTATATAAAAATAGGGCTACAGCTCACAAACTGTCCACAAATATATTTGTGAGTGACCAACACTGCCATCACAAAAGCTGAATGCTCTTTTTGGCAGTACTGGAATAATTCTGCTCTTGAACAAAACACCCACCAGTAGAAATAATGCTACCTCTGGGTAATAACAAAGGAGTGCCTGCTCCTACCTGCTCTGCTGGTGGTTATCACCAAAGGCAAGAGCTGCACAGATGGGCCAGATGCTGCACACATAGCTGGCACTGGAGTTCCCAGTACAAGTGCAGAGTTGGAGTGGCTGGAAGCACTTCACAGCACCTGCACTCAGAGCTCCTTATTTCTCAGTGCTGATGCTACAGTGTCCATATTTGGAAGCACTCTGCTCATCACGCACGCTGTGAACTGCTTTTCACCAAATAAGCATGTGGGCTGCTGATAACTCCCACATGATTTGATCTCTAGGTGTATTTCTTCCCAAGACCAATCGAGGCTTTTCACAGACGCCAAATCCAGGAGCTTCAATACATTCACACGAAATACATTTGGTTCAATTGTGACAGTCATCATGTACAAATAAAGACAATTCAGCTCTGCAGATGTGAGCAGAAGGTCCCAGAACAGTTACATTCTTATGTAAAACCCAGAAACAGAACAATGCATTTCTGTAATTCATTTCTGCTCACCCTTTTGGCCTGTTCAAGTTGTTCAGAGAGCTCTTCCAGGGCAGTGGCATGCCTCTGCCTGATTTCCTGGATCTGTGCTTCATGGTTCTTGGTTTCCTCTTCAATTGCTTTCTTCAGCTCTGCCACCTCCTGCTCACGTTTTGTCCTACAGCAAACATCAGTTAGAAATTAAAAAAAACAACCAAAACCACCATTTCAATCTCTAGTAAATGACAGGTTAATTTTATCAGTGCTTTATTACACTGTACGTGGTACGTGACCCCACCTCAGCTCTTGCTGTGCTGCAGTGGTATCCAATGTATCTTCCAGCTCAGTTTTTAAAGCCTCCAACTCTTCACTTAAGTCTCTTTTCTGCTTTTCTGCCTTGTTGCGTGATGCCTTCTCAGATTCAAGGTCCTCCTGCAGTTCTGCAATCTGGGCCTGCAACTCTCTTATCACTTTCAGTGCATTGTTTTTCTGAACTGCTTCTTCATCTCCTCTGTTGAACAAAGGCACAACAGCCAATCATTTTTCTCTGTTCTCATAAGCCTGGCATTAATTACATCCACAATGGCTTAAAAAAACACACTGTAAAACTTCAGATAAACTGTGCAGCAGCTTTCTTAATGTCTCGACAAGCACAGTGCCATAAGATGCACTGTAAGAATGATCCAACTTTTCAAGTTCACATCCAAACGTTTCAGTTCTGCAGATCTCATTCAACACCATCCCAAAAACGCACCGTCTGCTGAACGCTTTCTGCAACACCATAGAGCACCACTCAAAAAATAAAAATGCATTCCATCTATAACAGATTATTCCAACAGCAAGGCTACCACACAGCCCTGATCATTTGTTTCCCACCCAGCCATGGAAAGTGCTCTGACTCACTGACAATTAAACGTTTTTCCCTCTTGAGTCTGAACTCTGGGGACCAAACAGCTTCCAGAGCTCCAACTCCTGTACACTGCTGCACCTTTGTAGTGCAAGGACACACAAAACACTGAATCCTGGTTTGGCCAAGCCTGCTCACAGCACACTGATGTCTACAGATTCCCTCTGGTGTCTGTGCTAACGCTCCCAGCCCAATATGATTACAGTTAACTCAAAGCAGTCATGGAAAGCAGCTTTCTACCATCCCTCCTAAACCCCACTGTGCTCTGACCTCGCAAGAGCAGCCTGCAGCTCTTCCTCCTTCTTGGCCAGCTGGATCTTCAGCTCTTCAATCTGGGCTTGCAGCTCAGCTATTTGGTCCTGTAGGTCTGTTGTTTCACCATCTAGTTTTCTCTTAGCTTTTTCTAACTCCTGACGTGTCTTCTCCTCTTTCTTTAGGCGCTCTATAGAAGTGATAAGGATTTGTAAGTTGTTTTTTTAAATCTAATAATCCTCCAATGGTTTGGGGGCAAGGGAAGAGGGTGGTAGGAGGGGTGGAAGTTTAATTAATATTAAGTCAATTTTTCGTCCAGTTTCTAGCTGGAATGCTGACTGGGAGAGAGAAAATAAATAAGCAAAACTTCATGGTGCAGAAAAAGTTCAGAGGAAGTCAGCTACCTTGGAGGAAGCAAAAAGATGGAAGTAAGGGAACAGAAACAACTCAGCCTTAACAGAAAGTAAGGAATGGGGTCTGGCAGAAGAGCAGTTTGAAATGCGAGGTCAGATGATCATATGCACAAGGATTCAAAAATGAAGATCAGCAAAGGTCTGGAAAAAATGACAGTGTGCAACAGCTTCTGAAGGGGGAGGCAAGGCTCCAAAACATCTACTGGAAAGTACAGGCTTAATAAAGTTTGGACAAACAGTTTTTTGGAAGCATCTGTGCCACTAACACATCCCATGGATATTTCAAACACATCCCATGGATATTTCAAACACATCCCATGGATATTCAGCAAGGCTTTGCAAACTTTAAACTTCCTTAGTTGAGATACTCCTGCCCTGAGGCATTTCTCTGTGAAAAACACCCCCTTATCAGTGCTCCACCAATGCACCTCACCCCCCTGCCTGTGACAAAGCAGGCAGTCGCTGCCTCAGCACTGCTCAGCAGCCAGCTGATGGCCAGCTGTGTAACACTGGAGCCACAGAAGTTTTCCAAACCACTGATGCTTAGCGCAGACTTAGCACAATTCCACATACAAGAGCATAAACATAATTATTAGACTTAGTTAATATTTTGTGGGTCCTCTTTATGTATAGATTTTCCCATACTTTCTAAGCTTGCTCCTGGTTCAGGCCCCCATCTTCTTTATGGAAGGAGAGCCATGATGCTCAAGAATGATCTGTCACAGCCTCCCAGGGTAATTCAGACCATCAGTACTTTCTCTGGAAAATCCTCTCCCTCTAAAAAGTTTCTTACAAAACAAACAAAAAAAAGGCATTTTTCCTTCTGTTTTCACATCATATTTCTGAGGAGCTTTATTCAGAACGCTGCCACAAGACAGCGAGAAGACACAAGAAATCTCACAGCAGAATTAATTGCTTTTTTGGTCTAGATTTTAGTGCCCAGCAGCGCCAAGACCCAGGCAGAGAAAGCTTTAAGGCTCCTTGAACCACTGCCAAGAGTAAATATTATTCTATAGTGCTTTGCCAGCCAAGAAATCGCGTGCCTTACACTTCAGCTTTAATTTCCATTTTTCGGTCATCAATCTCAGAATGGCACCATAACCAAACACATCTGTCCAATAGCTTCAGAACCACTGATCCTGAGTCAAGCAAACAACGATTCCAGAATTATTTTCCAGTTGTGCTCATTCCCAACTCTTGGCCTCTGCCACAGAAGCTGATTTTTAAAGCAAAGGCACATCAATCTCCTTCCATCCCTATCAGCTCAACACCCACCTACCCAGGGAAAACGCAGCTCTGGTGTTCCTCCATAAGCACCTCAGTTTTAACAGTGGCAAGACAGGCCATCATATAACTGGTGCAAAACTATTTCCAAATTAGGACACAGAGTAATTCTGCCTTGCAATTTCAACTTGGCACTCTATTCACACTGTGTAATAGCTATGTACAATCACAGGGGTTTTTCATACATTGATCTTCCTTTTCAAATTAAGCAGGGTTACGTGCATACGTAGGGCAGCTTCAATCTGTGACAAAACACTTAAACAATCCAGACAAAGTGGACAGAAAAATGGAACCACTTCAGATATACAAAACATTGAGAAAAACAAAATAATTCATGTTTGCTTAGGCTTCCAATTTTTTTTCTTTTTGAATAAATGAATGGCAAATAACATTCCTTCAGAAATGTTTTTAAGAAATTATTAGAGAAAAGCACAGGAATTCCTAAGAGTCAGATGCTTTACCTTCTTACTGAGGGATTCGTGCAACATCACGAATTCCTGACTGCATCTGTAAATGAAATGGATTCTTAAAACTGTAACGTGGGCTGAAGAACAAGGAGGAGCCAGATGCAACAAGCCTTGCAAGAGCACAACATTTCTTGCAAGGTTGTCAAGCTATTGAGGTATGCACGTGTCAGGGTGCATTTAGAAGACCAAACCAGATATCTGTACACTGCTGTGAGCGATCCATTCCTTTCTAGCACGACCTCAAAGCTGCTGATAGGCAGATGTAAAAGAACAAACCTTCCAAATCAGTGATCATCATCTCCTGTTTGTTCTTCAGTTTGGCCAAGTTTTTGGCCTTTTCTTCTTCTTCAGCCAGCTGAGAAGTACATTCAGCAATTCTGTCCTCCATCAGCTTCTTTTCCTAGTTAGGAGAGAAGTGAGTGGGAGGGGAATAACTTCAATGCCTCATAGAGTCTCTGAACAGCACAAACAATTCAAGGCACAAAATCCACAGAGATCCCACACAGCATTCTATACAACTGTTACTGCATGTGCCTCATCCATCAGTATTAAGGCTCAATTGGAATAAACTGAAATAAAATGGAAGCATGAACATCTGTTTCCCAAGAACATGGGATTAATGGTTGGGAGGGCTGGTTTCCTTCCTTATCACTTAAGTCTCAGAACATCTGTATAGTTCACAGAGAATAATGGTAGCATCTGCAGAGCTACCAAAGAACAACAGCAGCTATGACAAACACTGCATCAAACTCTGCCTGAGAGCACTAGAAACACATGGCAAGTGTGACCCTCCTAAAGGCCACTTCTAAAGCAGCTTTAAGTCTCAGCTTCAACCTGTTGCAACCCCACAAGTCTTCAGGCACAAACTCTAAAGCTAACAGAGCTCTCAAAATATCTGAAGCTGCTGCTGTCACTTGGTATCACCGATTCATTTCTGATTTATTTCTGAGGAGAATCTCTACCAAACAAACTAGGCTCACCTTCAAAAATTTGGAATTTTGGTCCTCCAACAGTAGGATCTCTTCTTCCATTTTCTTGATCTTAGCTTCAGCTGTCACTTTTTCAAGCTGCAGCTTCTGCCTAGCTCCCTCCTCCTCATCCAGCTGTTCCTCCAGGTCCTGGCAAGAGAGGCAATTCGCATGTGTGTATTTTCCAGGTTACCCATGTGTTAATATTTTTCTTCTTTTACTTAGTGGAAAAAATACATTATTTTGAAAAAAAAGCAAACAGTTGCCCCAAATAAAACTAAAAAAAAAAATACTTTCACTTTGTCAGATTCAGCTACACTATCAGCAAGCTGGTAAAGAAATTAAGTGCCATGTGACACAGGTGGAATCCTTTACACTCTGTATTTTAGATTTGGCTGCAGCATGCTGCCTAGGAAACGTGTTCTCACTCCACCACAATCTTTCACCTACCTAATTCTTCACATACAATAACAATCCACCACAGGGGGAAATGGGACCCAGCACTATTAATTACAACCAAGATAGGTTGGGCTGCACGTCAACAAATTCCTAGGATACTGCATCCAAATAGGGTATAAAAGCACACGTGGTGGGGAAAAGATGCCACAGGACACCAGTTTACACAGTAAACTGTATGAATCTAGAGCTGATTTCTGATTTCTGTATGAATCTAGAGCTCAATCCTACAACTGAATGGCTGTGAGATTGACACAAGTACCTCGATGCCAGCAGAAAAGTAGTGATGTACTGTGCTTCTGTTCATCCGTGGATACTTACTAAAAGGCATCAAGAGCCATGGCAGTGGGCTTTGCCTCTCCACCAAGTACTCTGCTGAAAGACAGTTAAGCTCTTGGGGAACCCCTCAGTCAGTAAAGGTTTTGAAGTCCCCAGATGTTCAAAAGGAAACATCTAACTCATCTTCAAACACTTCAGAGAAAACTAGCAACTCAAGGGAGATGAAGCTGTCTTTCTTTCATAGAACCTAAAGGATTTTCACTACATTTATGTTGAAAAGAAACATTTCCCTTAAAACTGGTATCATCCCATCAGTCTCCAGAAGAAAGCAGGCAAGCAGCCATTGCAGGCTCCTGCTCACTCAGGAAGTGCTTGCTGCCATCAATCCTCCACCTGAACATGCAATAAATCCAACACTGCATTTTTTACATTTCTCCTTCTTCCCTCACTCTCATACTTCTGGAATTACAGAGACAGTAACAAGAAATAAAGAATCAAATTGACTGCATTCCACACGTGGTGCTAAGGATCTACCTTCCTCCATACTGTGGAGATGGTAAGTAAGCATTCCCACCCTTTTAACTGCTCCCTTTGCATTCTTTTCCATTTCCAGTTACCAAGGAGCATACCTGAATATGGCCCTGCATTTTCTTTTTCTCATTCTGCAATATTTGATTTCTTTCCTCTTCCTCCTCAACCCTGGATTCCAAGTCATGGAGAATTTCTTCCAACTCTTGTTTTTTGGCAGCCAAGCGAGCCCTCATCTCCTCAGCTTCTGCAAAGAGCTCCGTCTCGGCCTGTAGCTGCTCTGCAAGGATGTTCTTCTCTTCTAGGAGCTGCAAATATTAAGGAAAAAGTAGCAGAGCAGTAGCAACTTCACATTCTGAAGTCTTTCATGAGAGACTACACACATATGGCAACTACACAGTTACCTAAATGTCAAGTTCTGCTCCAGCTCAAGGCTTCCTGGTCCACATGCAGAAATGAACACCTCTAGCACAGGGTTTAGCACAGGCCAGAAGGCACCAACTCTAGAAGCAGCACTACAGCAATATTCACTCCTTTGTGTCCCCACCCCCCCACAGACCCCAGCAGGACACTTGCACCACTTCCCCGTTCTACCAGCAGCACAAAGAGGAGGGAAGTGCCTGTTCTGCAGGACTGGCCTTGCAGAGTAGCAGAGCAGTGTGTTTGAACTGGTATTTGCAGTCACTGTGTAAACTGTGTAAACACTGTGTAAACATGAATTAACATTCCCCCATTCAAGATATCCACACCACAGTAATAGCATGCCTCAAATGACAGTGACAAGTACAGGTCTGCCTCCACTGACATACTCCTTCAGCTGTTCTTCAAGCTGGTATCAGTCTTACCATAAATTCATTTTCAGCTTTGCCCAGCAATGCCCTAATTGTTTCCCTGTGCCTTAAGCAGCACTGGCACACGATGGAAGTTCCTCACCCTAAAAACGTATCTGAAGAGGGAAAAGCTGCTGCTGCTACTGAGGTTTTCCAAACACCAGGAAATGACAACAGAACCACCTTTTTCTTCTTTTCAATACGCTGTCTCTATTCCTGAAGGAATGCTTTCCTTTTATCTCCCGCTTTCAGCTTTTAGTCAAGTGTTAAGAAAACAGTTAACCTGCCTGATGAGAACAGTGCTTTGATCACAGATGCCTCCCTCACCCAGAAGGTACTGCAATACAAATTCCATACCCTAGAAGCTGATGGGGGCACAAACCTGTTGATGTTTCCTCTCCATTTCCTCAAGTTCTGCTTCCACTTTTGTCTGTTTTTCTTTAACCTTCATTAATTCTTCATCCTTGGCTTGAAGTTCCTCTTCCTGGCGAGTCACCTGGAGAAGAGGCTTCACCTACAAAGATTCAAAATGAACACGTGAGAATCTGCATTCACTTATTTACTCAAGTCAGAGAAAGTGACAGAACGTAACAAACCTTTGTGAAGACCCTCCACCACTGCCAGTGCCTAAGCTTTAAATATGCAGCACAATTCCTCTGTAGGATTTTCAGTGCACTCAGTTGCTGCTGTTTTTTTGCAAAGGCCCTGAAGACAGAGAAAGCAAAACATTTAACGTTAAATACAGCTAAATAAAGCATCTGTCAAGGGCTCTGCTTGCTTGTTTTAAAGGTTATCCAACCGTTGAACACTTGTAGACCATAAAAGGTTTATTTTTGAGTTTGGGTGACTATCTGACTTATGAGTGTTCATTCCTTATATTAAAAAGGCTAGGAAAGAGCTGGAGTCACTGCTTTCAGAACAATAACAATAAAAGCTGTTTGTTCTTACTGTTAACAGACTTTGTCCTCAAAAAGATAAAATAAGTGTGAATTAAACAACGAACCTTTCTTTAATTTAAAAATAAAAACAGCTTTCCAAAGTATTTCTGAGAACCTAAGGAGCAGGAGGAGAGATTTTTGCAGTCAGTAGCTAAATTGTAAGCAGCTACATGTGCCACACAGGTAAGGTTAAGAAAAGGAGCTGTTGTTAGAATGGCTGGGTACAAGTGACCTACTTGCCTTGGACATAACTGCAATACTTTCAGCAACATGCTTTCCTAAGAAAAATCCTCAGATGGAAACTCTGAAGGCCAGCTCCCTAACAAAGAGGCTTAAGATGACCACAAGAAAAGCCAGTCTCAAAAGCACACGTACTTTCTGGCCAGGTATCCTCTGCAGACTGCCTGGAAGAAGATGATAATGTCTGTGATCTTCAGGTCTCGTTCTTCCTCTAAGTGTGCCAGGACACCAGCTCGGAAAAAGATCTTGCTCTGTCCAATTCTGTATAAGTTGGGGTCCAGCTCCAAGGCTCTGATCTAAATGGACAGGAATGTACATCATTTTTACATTAACAACCATTTTTTTTGTTTCAACTTTTCAACGTTTTAACAATATTCAGGCATGAACACTTACCATGCGCTCACAGGCTTGCTTGCCATCCATAAAGCCTTTTGGAATTGCATTGGGAGTAAGGATCTCATACCTTCAAGGCAAATTTAACAAATATTTACATTCACCAATAGCCTATACCAATAGCCTAATACCAATCACCTATAACAAAAAATAGGTAACATTTTTATAAAGCCATAAAGTTTAAATTTAACAAATATTTACATTCACCAATATACCTATACCAATAGCCTAATACCAATCACCTATAACAAAAAATAGGTAACATTTTTATAAAGCCATAAAGCTACAGTCAACAAGTGTGTGGCAAAGGAGACTCTCCAGACATGCAGCTTAGGTTGCTCTCACTTATCTGTTCTCTTCAGAGTAAACCTGTAGCATTTAAGTTCAAACCACTTCAGAAGAACTGTTTTGGATTTTGTTTCAGCTGTGTTGTTTTTTTTGTTGTTCCCCCCCCTTCAAGGAACTTCATCTTAAAAATAAAAACCTCAGCAGACTGTACGTATTATTACCTCTGCCTAAATTCCTGGAACACTATCCTGTTTGGAAATCCTTGTCGACAAATCCTTATTCCTTCCAGAACACCATTGCAACGAAGCTGATCTAGAACAAGGTGTGGATCTAATTTTCCAGCCTGGATAAACAAAACAAAGATGATTTTTACACTTTAATTTCTATTCAGTTTAAATTTCTCAGCCAACTATCTACATAAGGGATGTACTGGGAATACTGAGAAGATATTTCTTCATAGAACCACGGAGATAGGGTTGGAAAGGACTTTAAAGACCATCTAATTCCAACTTCCTTGCCACGGGGCAAGGAGGGACATCTCCCACTTGGTCAGGTCGCCCAAACCATATTTGGTCAGTGTGGAAAGCTTTTCAAAGCCTGGCTTCTGATTTCAAAGAGAAGATGAGGACAGCGTGAATAAATCCAATGCTAACAAAGAGAAAGAATTCAAGGAGTGGACTGGAGCACAAACCCTCTTTTCGTGATTTGGAATGATGCAGCGAACAAAGTTGGGGTTGGTGTTTCGAAGCGTTGCCATCAGCTTGGTGAGAGATTCTTTGTACAGCTGCCCAACAGTACGAAACATGCCCTTCTTGGTCTTGTACGCAGAGCCAAAAGCAGTCTCTGTTATGCCAGTGACCTGATCCAGACCCACGATACGATCCACTGGGAAGGCAAAGAGAAAACAGTGAAGTGAAGCTCAATATTTGTCAGGATAAAGAGATGCGAAGAGAGAAGAGCAACAGTGCAGCAGCAAAAGCTTTGTGGGACAAATGACAGGAGATGCCACCAGTAGGCAAGGCAGTCAGCATGTACCAGGGACGTTGTGCAGAAGCAGTGGAACCAGAAGCCACAAGCTTATACAGCAGAGTAGTGTAGCTTTAGTAGGAACCTACTAAAACATCCAGCTCTTTACTTGCAGTTCTACATGACCAGTAAACACACATCCTGCACAGTCAGAAGAGAGACTGTTGCCTAGGAACTGGAAATTATTAGAATTCCTCCAGCAGGAAGTACCTCTGGGTTGAGCATTTGGAATCAGTTATCTGGGCATAGCTGTTCAAAATGAAGAGTCGGATAACTATACTTGTTAAGCATGACTATTACTGAATACTCAAAGAAGAGAAAGGAATGACTTACAGAAGAGATGGAAATAGTATTATGCCAGTGACAAGAGGGGGGAAAAAAAATTGTATGCCAGACTTTCGCTAGTGAGCAATTCTGAATCATTCTTTCAATTTTTATATCTACCTGAAAAGATTTCCCTTGCCAAAAGAGCACTTTAACCACAGGAAAACTGCACACAGAGCACCTCAAAGCTGCCAGGAAGTGTCAGAGCAGAGACGACTCCTTTTCCTTGATTTTGAAACGTGTTGGGTGAGGATCTCCCTGCTGTTGGTTTCTTTTGTTTGGGTGTTTTGCTTGTTTGTTCCTTTTCACAAATGGCAAATCTGACTGCCAGCAGTAAGACCTTACAGCCAAAATATGAACAAAAATGGGATTCCACATTCATGTCAACAATCAGTTCAACAGTTTGCTTCAGAAGCAGAAGGGGGTGGCTTAGCATTTAATAATAGCTGGGGTCCTTAATGCTGAGCAGAAACACACGATGTGTTGGTTCTCCAGAAAATACAAGCTGGCCAGCCAGAAAGAAGCAGCTGTATCTAGGCTTTACATTTTTGTTGGGTTATCTTCACATCTGTTCAAACCAAAGCAAAGGGAATTGCTACCAGGATTAGTTTTGTATATATTAATCAGTATTTACAGTATTTTGTTTCATACTTGAACCCATCTGGTTTTCAAAGGTCTGTACAAAGCTGGAAAATTAAGGGCTGAAACACACAGAGCAACAAGTTTGAATACCCACTTGCAAGTCTCATGTAGTGCAGAGCCCACATCTTCCACAGGCAGTTGGAAATGCAAGAACCAAAGGTGCTTATTAAAGCTAAGAGCAAGTAGGTGGCAAATTATTCATAAGATCACATCCCAAATGTTTATTCTCAAGCAGAACTGAGTTCTACATCAGAAGTGGGAGAGAAATTACTGGGAAGCAGCCTGACAGAAGATGAACACATCAGCTTAATTTGTAATGTATCAGAATGGAGCACCCAACAGGCACCAGTGATGACTGGACCTCACTCAGCCTTTGGCATCTCTGAGACACGGGGCTGTTTTAAAGTTTTGCAAATGCATCAAGACTAACTGTGCTTCTTGTTGTGTCTCTAACCAACTATACTGAGCCTGCTCATCTTCACAGAAGCAGTGCTAAAGCTGCATCTCAGCTCAGGCCAAGAGCAGTTATCAAACAGCACAACTGGGATCACCCACAGACGAAGGTCTCTCAACTCACACTGTCTAGTAATTACCTTAGGAAATATCACCTCCTACAGCATGTAGTGTACAGAAAACAGTGGGCTCTGAGTAAAAATGGGAAGGCTTGAATGCACAGACTTCACATGCTTCAAAACTTGGGAACTGGAACAAGGGAATGATGAGGAAGAGGCTGATTAAATACTTTTGTTTTTTTAAGTAGTTAAATGGTTTGATTTCAATACTTTGGGGGGAAAAAAAAGAGTGCAACTTCCACAAAGTGAAACGTTTTACGAAGTTTTTAGTAAAAGGACAATTCCATCAAATCTAAAAGAAACTTCTCGTTGACTACCACCACTGCAGCACTCTATTTATGAGATCCTTCACCCCCCCTCTACGTCCCACAGCTTTTCAGAGTTTTGTCAATGTTGGACTGCAGAAAGAAGCTTGACAGTGTCATATAGCTTATGCATTGTCTCAAATACTTGGAGCTACCAGAATTATTATTGAAGCAGCAATTCTGCATCTCAACATAGAACCAGGAAGCAACAAACCTTCTGATCTGCAATGCATAAAATATAGATGCTATATGTATGCAGCAGCAACTGAATAGGTATGCACTCAGAACATCGGCCTGGTGGAGGTATACCTAAATAGAGCATGAAATGAAAAAGTTCATGCAAGCCTACGAGCAAGAATGGTTTTCCTATAGATACAACAGCCCTGCCTTTAGTAGGCCTACGGTTTTACATCCATTCACCTGGTGGATCATGAAGACCAGTAATATTGTCATAGAAACAGGCTCTCTGAATATTCTGAATCTCTAAGGCAGAGAAACAGCAAAAACAGAAAGACAGAAGAGCAGATACATAAGACACTTCAGTTAGTATACAGAACAGGTTCATCAATTGCAAGCAGACTTAATCGTGCTACGAAGGCTGTTAGGCCACAATATATTCCATGCACATTTCAATCATCTGTGGAAGCAGGTTTTGAATATTTGGATCCAAACACTCGTTTTTATGCATGTACTCAAAGGGAAAGGAATAGACCCTCCACCAAAAAGTTCTTTATATGTATTCATTATAACACCTCTTTGCAGCTGAGCCAAGCCAGTATTCCTGAGAAGGTGGAAACCCAGAAGAAACCTACAGCATCATTTATCGTACAAGCTTGATTTTCTTCCTGGAGTAAGCAACTATAGACATTATGTGATAAGCATATTGTTATTAATACACTGTGATGTCAGTAACTAGAGGAGTCCCTGCTCAGTATTTATTTGGCTGTTTCTAGGATTATTTCAGTGAAAACAGCAAGAAATACTTAAAGCTAGAGTGCACATAAAACTATCTAAACAGCAATGTGCAGTTATGCAGGAAAAATACTGTGTCTGATTTTAATATGCAATATCTAAGCACTAGCATGACTGCTAATGGATTTTATTGTAGGAAATGCTGCTTTCCATGGTATTACTCACCACTGCACTGTGCTGGTGCTCATATAAGATGAGACACTTTGCTAATAGCAAGTACTACTACAGCTGTTTATATACAGAACTTCAAAGCAGCAAGTCAAATTAAGAGTTTTGGATGTGATATTACAGATAAAATTTGACACAGGTTGACAAGTAGTGAGTATCTCTTCAAATAATGAATATGAGAAGCAGCTACTCAGAAATGGGATATGTGCACAGACCATATGAGCCACGCAGCTTCTTCTGTACCTCTGGTGCTAAACAGAGAAAACGTAGGTATCTACAATGTACAGATGAGGGTAAGGAGATCACAGGCACAGAAACAGGTACTGGTCCACAAGAAGGCTCTAACCAGTCGTACTCAGAGCACCATCTCTTACCATCCTTCCAAAGCTCTGCAACAAATTTGTCAGAAGACTGGTGCAGGAGCGTCGCCACGTTGTCATTCAGTGGGTCCATGTTCTTCATCAGCCACTCATCTGCCTTGTAGTCTACCTGCAGAGCAGCCAAATGCCATAAATCAGAACGTATTATCTTTAGTCTCTTTTTAGATTAACATTTCAAGAGTCAACTAAGAATGTGCTGAAAAGTGAGTATTTTTACTGTGATGTAGCAGTTCTACACAAACCCTTTCATCATCGTATTTCTTGCAGGAAAAGATATTTTACAATTTCAGAAGGACATACAGATGCTGGTTAATAACTGAGAAATGCCTCCTATCCCAGAAGGTTGATGCAATGCACTGTCAGTATCACAGAAACACAGTGTGACACAGCTGAACTCCTCTTCAGATCTATTACTTCCCTGTAGTCAGGTACAAAGATGTTTTACTTCATTTTGATTACCTAAAGGTAATATTTCATTTCACAGCTCATTTACTATGAACTGCAGTAAATGATGATTTGATCGTTTCTAAGCTAATATTTTAGATATTGATACAACACATCCAATTTCTTTATTTCACTTTTTACTGTAATTATCCAGTTGGCTGCAGTGACACCAAACAGATAATAACAGCTATTAACACTTAATTTAAAGGATAGTTCAATTCACAGAGTTAGTTCCTTCTAAATCAGAGCAAACAAACAGTACCAGGACTAAGCTTAGCTAATCATGAATCTGCTTACGAGCACGGCCTTACAGTACAGACAGCATAATCATGGAGGTTCCACAAAATGCTGTCAAGAATTGGATGGTTGCCCCATGGACCTGTTCACACTGCTTCTGACTCCATCCCCCAGCAGAAATATAAAGACTGAATCAGTAGTAAAGATAAAGTTATAAACAGGGATACACAAAGCCTTCCACTGAATGGAGGGAACACAAGTGAAGAAGTTAGCACTGGCACAGCCTTACAGCACTTCCATCCACTTGCAGAGATATTCAGAATAGATTCCTCTTAACCTTGAGGAAACTCACCTTTAAGAACTGACAGCAAAATTAAAGGGAACTGAAATTTTAATTTAATATTAATATGTATCACTGCTATCTGCTGTGTGGTAACAACAGTTCCATCAGAGTGCTTCTGAATATGCCCAAGGAAATAAAATGAGGCCACCTTCCTGCACAAGTATTTCTCCAATTAGGTACCTACACCTCATATTAGTTTCCCCAAATGCACATTTCTAACCAAGTTCTCCACATCACTCTCTTACCTTCCCTGCATAGTGAATAATGCAGAAATCTGCTTTGTCCTTCAGCTGTCTTGGCTTTTGGAATTTGGAGTGGGTTCCTTGCTCTTGGACCAGTTTTTCCACAAATGTTTTGTCAGTAGCTTTAGGAAACCAGCATTCTTCATCCAACAGCGCCAACACACCAGGAGGGTTTGCCTGAAATACAGATGGATTCACATCCGTGTTTAATATGCATTTATTTTCTTAATATTTTGCATTTAAGACACCCCACTGAATGCTGCAATAAAAACTTGTCCAGCTGATTCACACTTGATTTAAATTAAAGCAAATTGTGAGGGAATCTAGTTCCATTGTGACTGGTTCCATCCATTCATTCCAATGGAGATGTGCTCACAACAGCTGACATGATCTGGCGATGACCAGAGCCTTGCTTTCAGCAGAGCCTGGAATAGATGACCTCCAGAGCTCCATACAAACATCTCTGCAACGTGTGTGTACACAGCAGCACACTCATCATTTCTACAGCAGTTACTGTCATGCTTTAATGTGGGCAAAACTGCAGATCATTATCCCCCAAAGGCACTCAGTACCCCTGGGGCAGCCACCACACCAACCCCTGTGCTGATATGCAGTAGCAGCACCCAGAACGATCCAGCAGGCTTAGCTTTCACTTTGCACCCTGCTCGAGGGTTTGCTTGTTCTTGAAATGAAGTGGGGAAGAACCAACACCTGCTGTACAGCTGCAGAAATGCTTGCAGAATCGGGGAAGACAGAGTGATGCACACAGGCATGCAATGGAAAAACTGGTCATAAATATTTGTATATCTAAAGCATCTAATGAACATGAAGCTAACACATTTGAAGAGTTGTTTATATTTACCTACAGCGTGACATAAAATATTTCAGGTGTCAAAAATTAGGACAGTATCAACATTTGCTTGAAGAGCTACTTCTTGTAACTCAATGCACTTGGATTGAGGATAGGATATTCACGTAACCATCTGCAATACTGAAAGCACTCCCCAGTCTTTGTGGAAGATATTTTACCTTCCAAGGAGACAAAACTTTCCAAAGTTTTGCATTTCAAGAGCAGAACTGTCATAACTGAAATGAGACTTCCCTTCTCCTACTCCAACACAAAGAACAAAACTGAACAGCACCAAACAAAGAGCACAGCTCTTCTCCTCAGGATGCACAGAATTGTTAGCAGTAATGACTTTGTGCACCCGAGACACACAGCTGAACGTACAGAACAGTAACCACAACGCCGTGGTGTAAATTAAAAAGTTCAAAATAATTTTGATGGCTTACTTGTAATGTGGAAAGAGAGAAAACCTTCTAGGAATGGTGATCTTTGTTACCCCTGCCCACTCCTGAAACCAGCCTGTGCTTAAAGCCTTAAGCTTCCATATACTGGGCAACCAGAATATAAAAACACTATGGTAACACCACCTTTAAAATACTGCTGAACTATTTACAGGGCCTTCTAACCAATGCACAGTAAAGCTTCTATAATGCACTGCCATGGTTTAGCATGAAAGTGACAGGACTGAAGTCTTTGTTACTACAAGGGAAAGCGTGTAAAAATAGTAGCTTAATACCACGGTGCTCTATGCTGACATCAGGGCAAAATCCTTTCAGGATAAATCCTTTTACTAATACATGGTATTTTAGTCTTTGGGCCCATCCTTCAAATTAACTTGTTTTCTGCAACTGCTGTTCAAAATATTTCTGCATAAATTTGCAGGCGTTAAACAACAAACCCCCAGTTGAATCTCTTTGTCTTAGAGCATTTTTACTGCACAAACTCACAGGTCTTTCGATTAAGTCAATGCAAGGCTGCAGATCCAGTCCAAAGTCAATGAAATTCCACTCTATGCCCTCTCGTTGGTACTCCTCTTGCTCCAGGATAAACATCGTGTGATTGAACAACTGCTGAAGCTTCTCATTGGTGTAGTTGATGCAGAGCTGCTCAAAGGAGTTCAACTGCAAAAAGAGCATTAGGAAGCAATGTTAATTCAGTGTCAACATTTATCACGTTTGGAAGTAAAAATGGAAATTACTTCATGAGGCAATTCCCCAAACTACACAGCATTCAAGTGTGCTGTAGAGACAAGTGGAAAAAGGATTGTTCATATATGAAACTAGCATCTCATAGGAAAAACAACTGTCGAACCATCACATACAAGAACATCACATACACATAGAAGAATGGTTTAGACCAGAGTGTGACTTCCTGGCACTATCATTCAGGTTATCAGAGCACTACAATACAAAACACAAAGCCCTCCTGCAGCCTTGGAACATCCACGCATTAAGAGGTTCTACAGCTAAGCCTGAACGCACAGCAACGTGGAGAGGAAAAGAAAGTCTGGTTAAAGTTGTGAAGTACCTCAAAGATCTCAAATCCAGCGATATCCAGAATTCCAATAAAAGATGCTCCCTGTCGTTTGGTCCTGTCCAAAGCTTTGTTAATGCGGTGAACGAGCCAGCGGAAGAGGCGTTCATAGGTGGCTTTTGCCAAAGCTTCCACTGCAAAGTCTGCCTGAAAATTCAAACAGGAAGATTTATTGACTCTGGAAAAGCCATCAAAAGAACACAGACACGGATGCTACCAGGGATAGCTGAGTAACAAAAGAAGTTTAATGGAGTTAATGCCACTGAGGAATGAAAACAAGCAGCAGGTTTCTGCAAAGTTACTGAGATGTCATTTTAAACTGCTGCATAAAAAGACCTCTGTGCATTTGATAAGAACAAGTGAAATGATGAAAACAGCAGAAGGCCAAGGAAAAGGAAGATTTTCCTCATACTCTCCTACAGACTTCTACCATGTAAGAACATTTAATGAAAACTAAATTTAAATTTGGAGGCAGTACACACTTAATACCGCCTTTCTGTACTAAAAGCTAACCAGGATGGGGCACTCTGTCACTTAATTTTCAGTACCCAAACTTACTTGTTCTTTGGTCTGGGCTTTCTGGACATAGTCTCTGCCGACCTTGATGCGTGGTGTCAGAATGGCCCGGGTGAATTCCATGACATTCATTCCCAGCAGATGGCAGAGTTTCTGTGCGACTGGGTATAAAAGTAACAAATGTCAGCACGTAAATCCTGCACAGCAGCCAGCAACACGGGTGAAGCAAGCTACTGAATAAAGGCATTCGATGAGCTGACCTAAGAATTGAACAGCTGTCCAAAGTTGCTGTCAGGGAGATGCACTGCTTTTGGGGACAAACCTACCCGACTGCAGAGCCCACGTGTGCAGGACTTCAAAAAGCTGATACAAGTGACTACAGAAAGACCCCACCAACTTCCCCCAAGGAAATGTGAAAAATGCTAGAGCTCAAGAAATTGCAGCAGACCACTGCCTGCAGACACATCCTCATCTCTTGAGTGGAAACATTTTCACCTCCAGAAACAAAAAACAGAACACAGCATGATGCCACACGTCAACTCCATCTTATTAAAGGTCGCTTACAAACCTTTTCAGTACAGACAGGTGTCAGCATAAAGCTATGCATGTTTGTATTACAGTCCATATGGAGCACATTGTACAACGTGTTACACAGTCAAGTTTTGAACTGAGCGAAGAGCAGCTCACTTTTAGACAGCAAAAACTCCTGATGTCAGCCTTGTTATCTGACATTAGGCATTACTCACACCATCACGGCATATTTTTGTCGCACCAATCCTTTTTCCACACCACCTTTCCAACAGGTTAGCTGCTTATGATTCCAGATTTCTAAAAATGAAGTTGACACTGTGGATATTTTTAGGCCTGGTAAGTGCTGCCTGCAGCAGGGCGCTCTGCACACTGTCCAGGAAGCTGTTTCAAACCCTCAGCTTTCTAATCCAGCGGCTCATTGATTTATCGTAGAAATAAGAAGAGCTGTTTTTATAAATCCTCATTAAAAGTAGATCTTGATACCAACATACAAAAGCTTCCTCTATATTTTTCTTTAGGTGGCATTCAGAACACCGCTTCCTTTAAAAGATTCTGCCCGTCCCTACAAATCAATACATACACAGCTGTGGTGAAATTCACGTGGCACCACAAGCAGAGCACTGCCTTCACTTTAGCTGCATGCACGGACATTTGTCAGGTACGACATGCCCTAAGGGAAGCCCTATTGGTGACAGCCAGCACTGCTTCATTAAGGGCAATCATCTGAGATCTGCTCCATAATGGCGTTATGGCACTGGTAGATGAGGGATATGACACCATCTACCTGGATTTGTGCAGTTTGATGCGGTGCTGCACAACATCCCTGTCCCTGAAGTGGAGAGGCATGGAAATGACGCACGGTTCACTTGGTGGACAAGGAAAAGGCCGGAGGGTAGAACTCAAAGCATTGCAGTCAACTGCTTGACACCCAGGTGGAAACCCAAAGACAAGTAGATCAGCACTATTTAACACCTTTATCAATGACACTGGGTAAAATCTTCCACTTTTTTTCCCCTGAATACAGGTTGCTTCACCACCCACACAATTGTCTTCCCAGCCTATTCAAGACACACCTAAACTCAGCACCACCAGTTCTCTGCAGGACACTGAGGAAAGCCATCATCGAGATGTGACAATACAGATGACAAGCTGTAAAGATCAGTTTCAAAAAGTGCCTTCAAAAAGACGTGGTAAGAATCACCAAGTAGACCAACACAGCACTTCTTAAACGCAGGACAACAGCCAGAGGCTTCAACCACGAGCTGAGCTTTTCAGCATCTTCTCTTTTAAATTCAGAATTTTATATCCAGTGTTACAACTGTTCAACAGTATAAATGTATCAAAATTCTTAAGTACAATATTGGATATAATGTTCAAAATTGATAGTAACAAAGCAAAAGTGAAGATGGTCAGGAAAGAAGAAACATCTATTTCTTTTGTATACCCCTTTTTTTTTTTTTAATGGAAAAAAAACCAACTCCATTGAGTTGCCTCAGCCCAAAAACCAATCCCACACCCAGCCTTTTTCTCTCCCTGAAAAACCCCAAATGCAAACTGCCAGCCAAATGCCGAGTCAATGATTACCCAGCTGTAATCCATACCTGCCTGCTGGAACACTTTGGGCAGAAGGCCACTGCTGGGGAATGACAAAAGTTTTGGACACCACAAGCAGCAAGCAGGCACAGCAAATTAAGGGCAATTATGGAACAAGATGGACGAGAATTTGAGTTGTGTGTGTGCAGCAGGTCTTGTGAATTCTTCTTCCCGCTCTGTGCGTTGAAGGCAGCTCTCAAAGCTGACTTTCCATCACAGCTTTTAGAAGGCCAAAACTTAAGTACTAAGTTAAAAATCTGTAAACCATTTCAGCAGCTTAGAGAAGGAAGAATTCCTGAAAATGCTGATTGCGTTACAGTGAAGGCACTAAAAGAGAAATTCATTTCTAGTCACACTACCATACCACTTCAGAAACCAGATTTTCTGAAACAAAGCATTCTTAAGTTCCCCCATTTCACTATGGAAGTTGTGCTTGGCTCAAGGGCTCTTATCATTGGCAAGCAAACTGCTGTCAAGAACCAAAGAAAACAACTCCATTTAAGCACGCACTTTCTCCCAGTGCTGAAGTCTTTGTAGATAGCAATAAACAAGACTAGAACTGAAATACTTATCCAAAGTTTAAAAGCAATGCAAACAACATAAATTCTGTTGATGGATACCTAAATTTGTCTGTATTACAAGAATGGAAGAGAAGTTTACTAATTGCCCCTTGGCTACTGCCATCACTATCATGGCCTCTTTTTGGCACAAAACTTCAGCAAGGAAGCTCAGAAGACTGTTCTGTACTTTCAAGAGATATGCACTAACAAATGGTAGGAAGAAAACCCCAGCTCAAGTTAATGGAAGCCAAACAAATGCAATTCACTCACCAGTGTTCTCCGGCATAGAAGCTTGATCAGTATTTCTCTCCTTCTTAAAGGAAATATTTCCAAACTGTAGCACTGAAGACACCACCTTCAGCATTGCTGTACCAACAAAGACATACAGACCAGTTCACTGAAAAGGGCTCAGCTTCACAATTTTTGCCTCTTAAGACACTTTCCTTCCAAAGTTGAAGTACAAGTTCACAAAGGAAATGAAGCTCGTACTACACTTTTTAGGCAAATGGTTTTAACTCAGCTGTAAGCTTATGTTAAGCAAATGCTTGCTGCAGGCTGTCAAGATACTGAAGCAATGTTAAATTTGGTGACTAACGTAGTGAGTGTGTGCAAGAGAGAAAAAAGTACACTTTAAAAATGCAAGAGGTTTCACTTACACAAGATCTCATCGTGTGAAAAGCCCATGATATGCATTGCTTCCATTGTCTCCTGAAAGTTATCCTTGTCTTGTTGCCCAGGAATGGGGATGTAGCCATTGGATAAAAATCTGTAATTATTAAATCCTTCAAGCAGTAAGTCAGCTGTATTGGGGGGAAGGAGAAGAGAAGAACAAGCTAAATAACTGCTATTCACACCCACTTGTGCTCTGCTTTCACTAGAGGAACAACCCATGCTTTACAAAAAAATAAAGTTCCTCAGCTATGACTGCATGTCATCATACCAGCTTAGTAATTCGTTCTTTCTAAAACTCTAAACATCAGTGTGTTCTAAAAGCAGAAATTCTGGGATTCTTGCTTCTGTCTGTAGCAACCTACACTAGCTCTTTAATGCATCATGCCTGTAAAAAGGACATTACCTTACTCAGGTCTACCATAATCATGAATTCCTATTTAAAGTATCCCAAAACAAGCATCTCTATCGAAAAGTAACAGATACTGGCAGAAGTGGAGCTTGGTATTGATGACACATCAAAAATGTCAAATACAAATTTTTCTTATACAGAAGGAATGGATCAATTCTCAGAAGTCTGTGCTTTCATACAGCTTCACTTCTCACAGCCTAGAAGGAATTCCCAGGTACCAAAGACAAAGGGGATCAACACAGTACTGCAAAGGGTGGAGAAAGCCTCGGGGTTTCGTTGTATTTTGGCAAAATGGCTGCTGTTCCCCCCAGTTAGAAGGAGCTGCTTGGAATGGGTCTGGCTGTCACTGCCAGCAGGATTCATTATTAATCAGTGAGAAGTGCTGCAGTTTCACTTCAGTGAATCCTGGCCGGACACCGAAGCCACCACCCTGCCCAAAGCGGACTTTGCCATGGAGCAGCCATCTGCTTGTGGCTTGAGAGCACGCTTGACAGAACACAGAAGTTATTTCAAAATAAAGCCACCTGGCCTTTTCCTTTGCTCTTCTTTCAAAACTCAGTTTCAAGACCAAACAATAGTTCAAACACTACTGTGTTAACAAAAAAACAAACTCAGGACACAGAAGAAACAGGATCAACGAGTGGGAATCTTCACTTACACTTGAGGTGCTCTCCTGCTCCAGCCAGCAGCTGGTAGAAGATATGAAATGTCCTCTCATCTTTAGCTTGGCGAACAGCGCGAGACTTCTCCAGCAGGTCTGATCACAGCTAGTCAAGGATCTTCTACATTTTTTGGTAAAAAGAACATCCTGTGCAAACAGAACTCTTTCAAAGCAGGCTGTGTAATTCTACAAGGAGCAAAAGGGACTTTCATAGTAATGACAGGACTAAACCCAACACAAACTTTCAGTAACGCTCAATGAGGGGTTTCAAATTCAGATAGAAGCTCACTTTAATTGCAGCAAACTCATTTCTTGGATGGTGCCTGTATCTCCTTGCTACCTGCAGCTGACAACCACTGTAATGGATCAACTGGAGCCTAAGTGAGAAGGGAGCTGGTCATCCTTCTTCAGTCATTCCTCTCTGAGGATGGCAGTGCTACTCTAAGAACAAAAACCCAGCAGCTGCTGAACTCTGCAGTACTTCAGCTGAAGTGCATTCGGCACTTTTATCAATTTCACAAGGCAGCATTCTCGTAAGATATTCTGCACTGCCTTTAAACACTTTTCAAATTCAACCATGTGCAGCAGGTAACTTCTAACAAGCTGCCACAAGGTGCTATGTTAATGCTTTCACATTTTGATGTCCCATTCTGTAACACAAACGTGGGATATCCTACTTGAAATGTCTGACACAAAGGCAGATCCTGCCATGAAAACAACTCCCTAAGAGCAAAGTCCTCCTGTCCTCACAAAGCCCCAGGCAAAACAGTTACCTGCATTTTCATAAAAGCAACAGCTGCCATCACTGCTGTGCTAAATACTGAACTGAGAAAGAAAATCACTCAGCATTAAACTGTATTTTGAATAACTAACTGTAGGCATTCCCCAGCATTACTGGGAAATTACATTGTGTGGAGCAGCAAACACACACTGCACTTCACATGAAGCAGTCAACTGGTAGGCACAGAATGAAAGCTGAGTTGTATTGCTGTTTATGAATAACATTCACAAGGTATTGTTGACCAAAGCTTTTGATTTCATAATTTGATGACCACCCTGCTGCTATTTCCCCCAGAATAGTCTAAACAGACTAAAAAAGTTTACATACACATCCTTAGCATAAACAAAACCACTTGAGAAAGGCTTTTAGTGTAAGTGTTCTCACTTGTTTTTAGGCAGTCATAAATAAAAACGGGCCTCAAAGCTAAAACTAAACTAGGCTTCAGCATTAATTGCTAGTAGGTCTTGTGTTACTTGGCCTTGCCTGCTATCCAGAAGGCCTGGGACACCAGAAGCTGACCTGGTACAACGACAGCTGCAGTGCCAGGGCTGTTGCTGAGCTCCTCCTTCCTGGAAGACAGCAGTGAGGGCGCTGAGCGCTGGGCCCAGTAGTGTGGGCACTTTTAATTAGCAGTGTATTCCTCCACCACTGTCACAGAGTGAGAACACTTGAAATAACTTACTTAACTTTCACATACCCTGCTTTTAAGGCTGGCCAGAAAATCCAGCGGATTTCAGAGCGTTAAACGCTGGGATATCCGGTTTCTAAGCATAAGGAAACATGCTGACTCTGATACTTGATCAGCTATTTAGAAACAAAGGAAGAGATGGACACGGTGGAATGACTGCAGAAATCAGGTAACCTTTCACTGCATTCCAATGCATTCCAATGCCGATATGACATTAAGTAGGATACACGTCTCAATGTTGGCCCCAACAATATAACCAGTAACATCAAAGTTAATCCTAATGAACTTGCCCTGTAGAGAAAAGATATGTTTGTTAAGTACTTACTTTGGGATTATGACAACTATTTGAAAACAACGGCATTTGCACATTGAATAACAGGCATTTCACACAAGCCAAAATGAAATCTTCTCCATTCAATGCACTCCTCACTTGAAACACGTTTCTGTGCACATGAACATTTTCTGAAGGTTAAAGCACTAAGATTTTAGGTATGTCTGTAAGACAGACTTATGAAAGACTTTTCTAAGAGAGAAGCTCAAGTTCTCCTATTGACAAAAGTCCTGAAGTGATAAAAGCTCAGCACTGCTATACTAAATGTACCCATCCCCACATCTTCAGGCTTTAACCCACGTAGGCTTTATCTGCCCACCTCAACCATCACAACTCTTCCTTTTCCACAACTAGGGTGCTTGCTATCTCTCTTCATGCCTTCTCTTCCCTAGCAGTTGTAAAGAAAGAACAGACTCCTCTTTCCAGTGTACATCTTCTTTTCTCCACAAAAGGCTGATGGACAGTGGGCTGAATGTGAGCCAGCAGTGTGCCCAGGTGGCCAAGAAGGCCAACGGCATCCTGGCTTGGATCAGGAATGTTGTGGTGAGCAGGACCAGGGAAGTCATCCTGCCCTGTGCTCAGCACTGGTGAGGCCTCACCTCGAGTGCTGTGTTCAGTTTGGGGCACCTCAGCACAGAAAGGACATGGAGGTGCTGGCGCAGGTCCAGAGAAGGGCAACAAGGCTGTGAAGGGCTTGGAGAATGTGGCCTATGGGGAGAGACTGGAGGAACTGGGGCTGTTCGGTCTGGGGAAAAGGAGGCTGAGGGGAGACCTTACTGCTCTCTTCCAATATCTGAAAGGTGCTTGCAGCAGAGCGGGGCTGGTCTCTGCTCACTGGTGACAGGACGAGGGGAAATGGCCTCAAGCTGAGCCAGTTTAGGTTGGATATCAGGAAAAACTTTACAGAAAGGGTTGTTCAGCACTGCAATGGGCTGCCCAGGGAGGTGGTTGAGTCAGCATCCCTGGATGTGTTTAAAAACCGTTTGGGATGTGGTGCTCAGGGACAGGATTTAGTGGCGGGCTGTTAGGTAGTTTGGGTAGGTTGTGGTTGGACAAGGTCTTCAAGGTCTTTTCCAACCTGAGTGATTCTACGATTCTATCTTCAGGATGACCAGGGGATCAGGCCCAGCCAACAGGGTTCACAAAGTTCCTGTCTGAGTGACCCAACCTCCTGCTGTGACCAGGTCATCCGCCTGCTGGGTGAGGGAAAGGCTGTGACCTTATTGCTCACTTACACCTCCATGACAGGAGGTTGTGGTGCAGCAGGAGCCCTCTTCTCTCAGGTAAGAGTGATGGGATGAGAGGGAATGGCCTCAGTTTGTGCCAGGGGAGGTTCAGGCTGGATATCAGTAAACATTTTTTCCTGTAAGAGTGGTCAGGCTTCGGCACAGGCTGCGCGGGGAGGTGGTGCAGTCACCATCCCTGGCTGTGCTCAGGAACCACACAGGTATGGCATTGAGGGATGTAGTTTACTGGGAATGGTGGTGATGGGCTTACAATTGGATGTGATGATCTTAGAGATCTTTCTTCACCCTTAATGATTCTGTGATACAGATCACACTTCCCACACACACAGTGAATCCTGGGAAGAAGGTGGCTGTGAGTGAGTGCTTTACATCAGGTATCAGAGTCCAACCAAATTAAACCACTTTGAAGCCACATCAGTAGGCTGGCCTGTCACTCGGCCACAAATGTTCCCCACTGCCTCTGGCTTGGAGCTGGACCACTTCTAGAAGTACTGTTGCCATACTTACAGGTTCCAAAAGCACAAACTTTAAGTATTGCCTTGGTTGCAAATCTGAAGAAACCGGTGGGAACACTCAGCAACCACATCAGGATCTCTGTTTTCATCACATCCAATGTCTATACTCTTACCTACGTAGAAACAGGTTCTGGAGCACAGTGAGCATCAATGGCAGTTTACTAACAGCCACCTAAGTGCATCTTTGGATGACAGCTGCAAAGAGTCACCTACCAACCTCTTGTGAAAAGAGACAGATTTCTGAAAGTTTGCTGATATGCAGCATCCAAATCCTCACAAACCTCAGGTCTGGCAGATTATTGCTATTATTGGTTTATTGGTATGTTAAAGAACTCCTGTTTGGCAGATCTATTTAGCTCAGGGAACACACCACTGATTTCCACATTAAAAATTCCACTCTACAAGCTTGGAGAATAGATGTGTTCTAGTGATGGCTCGCTGTAGTTGATGTTCTTGGAATGTATTGCCACGCTGCACTATAACAACACCTGCACACATTACCAAAGTCATTCACATAATTACAACTTAGCAGAACACCTTCAGCTTCTCAACTTTCCCAGTTAAGCCCAGTCATGTCAGAGACTTGCACACAAGGCTGAGCATGCTTCTCACCCAGCCACGTCAGGGATCGAAAGAGACGTAAAACCAGCTGAAGCCTTACTTTCTACAGCTTTTAATACAGAGTTCTCAAAGCTCTCTTAAAACTGTTGGAATACTATGAATTAGCTTCAGTGCTTGCCCCTGCTGCTTAACCTGCAGCGTGGTTGGGAAGTCAGAGCTGCGGTAAAGAATGGGGCACGTTTTCAAGCATCCTGTCATGGAGCAGCAATACAATTCCTGTTTCTGAGAATATCTAGGCTCAACTTAAAGCACTTCATTTTTTGTGCAGTAACAAGTCCAGAAGGCTATGTTTGTAACTGTTACAATGGGGAAACTGGCACTTTGTGAAATACAGCCCTTAGCTAGATGGAACGTGTGTCAGCACCTGTGTCAGCAGTGGCAGCTGACAGCTTCACACACATAATTGATGACAAATCCTGCTCAGAAGGACACAGCTTGAATTTGCCATGTTTCATGTGAAAGCAAACGTGAAGCACTAAATCATGTCTAGTCAGTAGCTTTGTCTGGCATAATTAGCAACTGCTTTACTCCATTTCACACTTAGAGGTTATTTAACTTCTGCTGCCAGTCCCCAGTTCCATGAATGAAACTAACTGGGAGGCAATGCAGGCAGACAGAGGAGACCCACACACCCTCAACCTCGACATTCAGCTCCCATTGAAGTCTGCACGAGATGGGCCGCTTCTCTAGCTTATCTCCCATGAAGTGAGATGTTAATATGCCTTGTAGCTCAGGCAAATCTTGCTGTGAAATCTTTAACTCATCAGTAGGATGACCACCTCTGCTGTATCTAACAACCAAATTCTGTTTACACTGTTGTTATAGCACTGAAGTACACAGCTTCTTGAACACCACACAAGGGGGAAAGCAGCGTTCAGTGCTGGAATAGGAACCCAACAAAGACCACTTTCCCATCCACTGCAACCTCCAGAATTTATTTCCGGAAATACAGAAGAACACTGCATTTTGTCAAGGAGAGGGAAGAAGAAAATGCCTTGATACGAGCCTCATTTCAGTATTATCTGGATTATCAGAACAGCCTTAGACTGTCAGGCCCGTGTGTGCTGAACAACAGCAGTTCCCACTTTGTGGGAGGACACATTTTTCAAGTCGGATTTTGAAATGCCTGTTGCTAAAGATTTTATGAGTAGTTTTTTTCTTTTTTCTTTTTTTTTTTTAACATAAAGACGACACCATCTGGAGTGCATTAAACTTGTTCCTTTATAAAAAGAGAGCTGGAGCCATCTGAGTGATTATGTTCATGATGGCAGTGCAGACTTCAACATAATACAGAGCAGATGCTAACAACTTCCATGAAGAAAAGTATCTTTGTTAAGTTAGTGCAGTGTTTGATGGATTCAAGCAACGGAACAAAGAATTACTGGGCAGCCAAACCTGTTGATATTATAAATCCTATCACAACATGTATGAGTATCAGCCAGTACTGCAACCAACGTGGCTATAAAGTTATCAAAACGTTGAATTTCTGTAGTACTCTGCTCTCCCTTCTTGACTGCTAACACAGAAGGATTCAGTCATGCAACCTCCCAGAGCCCTTATCGCTTGAGCTGATTTTATACAAATGAATCCAGGCAGCCGCTGAAAGATCAGGCAGCCAAAAATCTTTTATTTATTCTGTAAATTTTAGTTCAGTTCTTGCGAGAGAAAAGATTTAATGCCTCCCACACAGTTTTAAAGCTGCACTATAAACGACTTTTCCCTGAAAACAGAAGACAGCTTTTTCACCCCAAATTCCACCAACGGCTTCAAAGGAACACAAGAAAAGAAGTCACCTACCATTGAAGCAGAAGGCACCAACCCATCCAAACTCAACCAGCTACAGCAGTGCTCTGCCCTCAAATGTAAGTCATGCTATCTTCCTGGCTTCCCTTCAGTAAAGCAGTCAAAAGGGCATTGAAATTTAGAGCAGTTTTTATATGTAAGCTTGGTGCCTTGCTTTTCCTTAAGTTGAGGATATTCTCCCTGAACCAATCAGCAGCTATTGACAGGAAGGCAACACGCTCAGCCAAATCCCAGAGGTGCTGCATCTCTTCAGACTTTATCATCATTCAGCAGTGATTTGGGCATGCAAGTCACCGTTCAACTCCATGGCACAGATGTATCTGTTACACTACGAATACCATTGGCAGCTCAACAACAGTGGACACTACAGACTGGGTAAATTAAACCAAGTTTTGTCAAAAGCCAACGAAGATGCATCCTCAGTGACTCCAGCACAATTCAGAAGGCATTACAGCAGAACCTGAGGCCATCAAGGAAAGAGTAAAGAAACCTTTTGGTACCAGCTAAACTTGTGAAGAGGAATTTCTCCACAAGCAGTCATGTGATTTACAGACTCCAAGAGAAAAGGGATCACTCACAAAGCGGGAGGAGTTGTCGTTTTTCACCGTCTTCGCGTTCCCGAAGGATTCCAGAATGGGATTTGCCTGAAGAAGCTGACGCTCCAGCTCCCCCTAAAAGCCACACAAACAGAACAGCACATGGACATGAACACAGTGCACGTGGTGAAAGCTTCCTACATCCTGCTTCTTCCTGACAGTCACTTTACCCAGCTGGTGGCAGTGGGACCATCTTCAGAAGGAGGTCATCAGCCCTCCCCTCACTGCAGCCTCTTCCATCCCGTGAAGAATGTGCTCTGTGCTCGTTTAATACACACACAGGGGGACTGAACAGGACTCCATGGATATTGCAAATCATTGAAGATGGAAAACAAAAATTCACCTCTAGGGCTGATGAAATTAGGCACAGACTTCAAATGCCTGAGAGGAAAAAAACTAATTAAAGATTTTTCACTCTCTTTAGCTATTTGACAGCATATTCATTTTCCACACTGAATTTGAAATTGGTGCTCATTTCCCATCAGTCACACACTCATGTCACTGTAACACCTCTGACCTGAATGCACCTACAAGTATGTCACAGCGGCACAGTGAATTGAGTAACACCAAATGCAAAGATCATTTTCAAACTGCCCAATTCTGCCAAAATTGCTAGGCATCTTTAATATTTCTTTTTTAAGTGCTTCCTTCAGCTCAAGCCAATGGATGTAGAAATCAAAGCACTTATCTTGAGGAAATTGCACAACAGCTTTTACAATTGCTGCCCACGAGGAGCTCTGCTAACAAAAGAAGTCTGTGCTGCTTCCATGAGTCTGAGAGGCACGGATGCACACAGGAAAGTATGACACTGTTTTCCTGCTTTAACAGATAGTTTAAAAACTTAGAAGTGAAGCTGCATCTCTCTGGGATGTAGTCTCAAAAACTGACGTTTGTGCTCATAAACCTGCTTTTTCCAATTGTTTATAGCATAGATGAACACAGGCCCCATACTGAGCATTTTGGAATGGAAACTTCAGTCTCTTTAGACCTCCTCGAGGCAGATTCTCACACAGGAATTTTACAGGTTAACACCTGAGACTTTGATTTTTAATACTCAATTATATTTCAAGTCCTTCTGGAAACAAATGGCTGTTTGCTTTCTAACAGGACCTGCTCAGAACTTGGTTACATCCAAACATTCCTTTGGGACTACATATTCTATGAACTCCAAAGGAACTGAGAAAAACTGAACGCATGCAGCTCAGCCCTGACCACACTTGGGCCACAGTGCCAATGAACCACAGCTGGGGCTGACAACATCACAGCCCTCAGGAGTGCTTTTCAATCGATAAAACGTGCAGTTTGAAGGAAATAAGATCACTGTTACAGCTGCTGTGTGGACGTAAGCAGTTCATAGTCTTAAGCAATTCCTACACAGAGGTGTCAGACAGGAAAAAGCATTTGCTGACACCATTCCTCCCATCCCCTCTCCCAACCACACTGCAGCTCCTGTTCAGACACCAAATAAAAATGAAAAGCTTGCTTACCATGCTGCACACAGCTTGAAACAAACCACGCTACGTATATTAAACGCAGCAAGCATGTCACAGCTTACATTTCAAACTCTATCTATTCTGGAAAAGAAAGCATACTGACTTCAGAATTGAGCTTTTCTACAGAGCATCGCTGTGCTGCCTGAAAGCTCTGCACTCCAGAATGCTTTGACCATGCTTTAAGTGCTTCTGTGCACCACAGCACTAATTCAGCCTTGTGCACAGGAACGCCTGCAACACAACATGAAATCACCCCACTGGTGTTCTCCAGCACAACGCAGTCAGTTTTGTAGTGCATTTTTATGATTATCTCAGGGGGTTTGAAGGAAGCACTCAGCAGTGCCATCAGAGAGGTGAGAAGCAGTGACTGCAGCCCAGCCAGCTCTGCTGCTGTCCTTCACACGTGGACTTCCCACAGCCATTGCTATGTGCAAACCTTTGCACAGTGCAGAACAGCTGCTGAAAAGAACGGTGGTAGAACATTTTAAACTGGATTTAGTGGTTTTCATTTCTAGATAGATTGCTTTAGAGTCAAAAACATTTCTAAGGAAGCATTCAGTGCTTTGGAAACAGTTTAAGTTTGGTCTACAGGCATATCTCCAGCATAGGCATCTAACCAGAACTTGGAAAAAGCAGTATTGAAATTGTGGAAAAAGTGAAGTCATGCAATACATCATGCAGGACAACGTTAAGATAAGGACGGGTTGTTGTCTCAGTTTCAGAAACACCAGCAGCCCAGTGGCTTGGGTCGTTGTGAAGACTGGGGAGCAGGGAGCTACATGCTACTCACATACAACAGGGGTCCACTCTGTAGTTCAAAATGACATCGAAACAGAGATGTTAATGATTACGGTTTATGCAATATCAACACTTCTGGATTAGCATGTTTCCACCGATACATTTCAAATGTCTGCCAACAAATAATTCAGTTCAACTGCACGCTGAGTCTAAGCTAAAGGAGAGTTAACTCAGTGCTTTATTTGTGGAACAAGGAAATTCTTGAGTAGAAAGAAAAAGCCCACAACTTTGAATTGTCTGAGGTTTAGATGGAGGAAGGATCAGGTTAAATACAAAGAATGTCTGTAACTTCTGAAAATGAGACCACGGGGCTCCGACACACGATTGGGTTACAGGGCTTTAAGGAGTTACCACACACTGGCAAAGGCACCACCGCTGTCCGTGTGGCTTCCTGCTGCCTCCAGAAAACCAAAGCTCCCTCCTTTCCCCTTCCCCACTGGGAGTTGAGATGCACTACGGTCAGCTTTCAGAAAATGGGGGGAGAATGCAACCAGCTAACTTAACTCATGGCAGTTCTTGAGTTACCAGGCCTCGTCTGTATCACACAGAGCCACTGCAAAGCGTTCTCCTTATTTGAAAAGCTCATGCCCACGACAAAGAGGCATCACTTACCATCTCAGGTTAGAGACCGGAGCATGCATCTCGCACGATACGTGGGAACAAGCTCTTCTTCCCACAGTCTTACCCTCAGCTTCCATCTTATTCTCCTCTTGATGCTCAGAAGCAATGCCGCACAGCACGGGCAAGGTGAGCTGGAGTGGGGTGGCTGCTGGCCCAGGACAGGGCTGGGCAGCATGAGCCTGCAGCTCCAACCAGCCCGAGATGACAGCAGCTGGGACTGAGTGCTAACTCAGCCGGGCAGGTACACGGCACTTACACCACCTAGCTTGGTGAGCCATGGGGATGCTCCACTTCTGGAGTCAAACAGATACACCAAGCCCTACACACCTGAGAACTGAAGCTTTGACCAGGTTACCTGAGCAGCTATAAAAACATTCAGGGAAAATCATACGTTAACCAGAAGTATTTTGCCAGCTCCAATGACCCCCATCCTTTATTTAGCACAAAGAACTGCTGTCCTCCCTTACGGCACGCTAACTCAGCATGCACATAGCACCCTGGAGAAGCTCAGCTCAAGAGGAGGTTACCCAGGTGCTCCAGGACAGGGACACCCATGGTGTGAGGAGCAGTGCTCTGCAATGCCTTGGAGCCTGTAAGCTCTTCACCAGCCCATGCTCTGAACAAAGCCACTTAAATAGTTACTGAAATTACTATTAGCTGTATAGAACGTGGGGGAAAGCTTGTGCAGATAAATGGAAATCGACAGAAAATAGAGATGAAGGTCACCTACATAACTTGAAAAGCATAAAGAAAACCACTTGCCTGATGTTTCACGGGTTTGGGTGATTCGGGCTGTTCGTTGCAAACAAACAAACGCACATGTTAGCAAGCAGGCATTCCAGCTGCAAGTCACATCCCACATTATTCATGTCAGCAGGTTTAGTTTAACCATATACTACTCACTTCATACAAACTATTTGGTTGTAGAAAGGGAGTTATTCACTTGCCATTGCATGCACAAAATGCTAAAACCTGCTCTTACGCAAAGAACTAATTTCCAATACAATACAAGATGACAGAGGGACCTTGAGGAGCAAGAGGAAAGGGCAATGGCATGATTTGTTTTACAGCTTTCCACAGTTCTGCCAAATAAACACCCATAATGCTAAACAACTATTTCTACAGTCCCAGTAAGGTGGTTTTGTATGAATGAAATGATCGCTACTCCTTAAAGAATAAGGCAGGTTATGGCAGAACCTGTAAGGAAAGCAATCCTTAAAACATCTGAAGTTTTATTTCTGGGCTGCACATCAAATATTTAACAGATGCAGAGCCTCCAACCAAGACCAGGTTTGTTTCTTTCACTCAAGAGCAAGCATCAAAAGAAGCAAAATCTTAAACTGAAATACCTACAAGATTTACCAGGAAAGAGGCTATGAATGGGAAATAAACCCACAGTTCAACTCTGCACAGTTCCTGCAGCAGCACGCGTTTTCGGTTTCATTATTATATTCTTGACTCCATCTGCAAGTTTTCCAAACTTAAGCTTCATGGCACAGAGCCTGAGGGGGAGAAATACTGTACGACACAGAGCTCCACACCAAAGTCAGATACTTGGTATCCACTGATTGCCTGTTAGTTCGAAGCTCTAGAACTGCTTTAGAACTGCTTTAGTGCAAGAAAACAGATTTGGACAGAGTTCCTCAAAGCAGCTGCCAGAACCTCACCTCATTCAGATAAGCTGTGTGAATTCAGCACAGCTCAATCAAACCTGCTTGGAAAACAACCCTGGCATCTGAAAATCAGGTTCAACATTGCAGTCTAAGACCAGCAGTCCTCAAACAGTGGGAAACGACAGGCACAACTCAGAGGCTTATCTGCTTACTGCACTGCTCTCTTCTGGTCTCATTCCCTCACTAGGAACAGGGCTGAGCACCATCAGACATTTAACATCTCCCATTCAATTAGGGCAGTTACAGCACACCTGGGAAATCCTCATCAAGGGAAGCCTCCATCTGAGCCAGCCAACCCAAGGTCCTGTGCTCCAAAACCAATTACATCTCTTCTGAAGTTAATGAAACAAATTAAACAACTTTGCATTTCACCTTCAAAGGCCAATGCAGTAACTAAGTAATCACAGCTATTTCTGAGGCTTACAGCAGCATCAGCACGAGAGCTGGATTTTAGTGAAAATAGAGGTCTTGTATTGATTACTGGGAAAGAAAACAGGCATTCCTTTCATTCTGGCACTGCCCAGCTCAGGTTCAGATGAGTAGAAACAGAGTCAGTAGTGATGGATGTCATTAATAGAACTCGGCTACTTATTTTCAGTCTTGCTATTACATTATCTGCTGACTACAAATACCTGACCACAAATAGGGTCCAGATCTGCCCATAGGCAGCATTCCCCAACCCCACACAGCCTGCAGTACATGCAAGTTAGCAGTGAACCCTGGGCAGTAAGCAGCACTTTTTTCATCCCTTTGGAAAGCTGGGTATGCATTCTACTTTATTTCTGTATTTTGCAGCAACTAAACCCATGGTGTTTGTAAACCAAAGCAGAACGCAGGAGTTAGAATTAGGGCTCACTACACAACCGCAGTAAAGCAGCTCTGTAACACATGCATTAACACGTTCCAGCCTTTTTTCTTATTCCTACCCCCAGTACGTTGGTGACTGACGAGTCACAAAGCTAAACAGAACTCTCCTTTCTGTCCATGTCTTCTTCCTCAATCTGTTCAAACCCTCTCTCACTGGTTTCCCGCCCTACTCTGTCCAGTTACCCAACCTTGTTTTCTTCTTCTCATTTCAAACGTCGCCTCCACATCTCCTCACCACCCAGAAAAATAACTGAGAGCAGAGGAGGTGCTACACATGGCCCAGAGGCAGCTGAGCACAGCAGGAGATAACAGTGTGGGTCACCTCCAGGCTGAGACAGCTGAGTTAAAGCACCATGACTCTTTGTAAGGCTGCTCCACACACGGCACAGTCAGCAACTGAATAAACCATGAATCAGATCTACTTGCAAAGTTCTCAACATCCCCCTCTCCCGCAGTCTTCAGAGGTCAAATCTGTTGAATGTGAAGCTGTAAGTTTTCAGCTGTCAACAAACACCTTCCAGCTTCCTCCCTTGCTGCACACCAACCCAGCAGCCCATGTGCCCTCTCTGAAGCCAACCAAGCTCGCTGTGAATGATCCAGGCTCTGCCATCCCACCTTCAGCCTATGTTTTTAGTGCTCCCTCCCTCACGTGTCTCTAGAAAGCCTACTCCACTCCTAGATAAGAGACTCAATATCATCTAGCTCAGCCACGTTCCACAGTTAATACTGCTTCTCTTTCACAGTGGACCTCACCCAACCCACTGCAGGGGCACAGGAGAGCCCTACTGAGGCAAAAGACACAGCCAAGTTCTGAATACCAAACAGGGCCACGCTGTGCTCCAAGTGACAGTACAGCACTGTGTGCTGCTCCTCATGTGCTCCTGAGGAACGCACCTGGTGGTGTACAAATTGGAGTGTTACTCCAGTGAGACCTGAGGCACCCAACTGGAAGCTGAGTTTTTGTAGCATCTTTACAAGTCTGTCTGTCAGGCTGAAGGTAACCCTAGAACAGCACTGGGAAAATAACTGTTCCTTCATCACCGTGCAAAGTGATAAAGAAAGCCATGCAGAACTCAGATATCTCACTAATAAGCGTGTCAGTAATTTATGATGGATAAAAACAAATCCCTAATTCACAGTCTATTTAACAAGACTATTCAGCATCTCTGTGAGAACACAAGTGTTGTACAGAGCAGTACTGCAGACCACTACTGAACCTCTGCAGTTTTCAATGTCAACAGGAACAAACTGGGGCCGTGTGTACAACTCCAGTTCTGACACTTCTAAACTTCTGGGTGTTAGTTGTGTAGGTTGGGTGCTGTCTGCAATAAGTAAAAACGAGTTGTTACAGAAAGGGAAATTCATTTCCAAAGCTGTTTCGGTTACACAGTCTGTGTGTTTCAGAAATAATTCACTTGGTGCTTAATAAGGCACAACAGTGAATGAAGCACACAGTCAAAGCATCCAACTTTCATTCGGGACCTATTCCTTTTTGGGGGGTAAAACTATGTTATGTGAGAAATAAAAGCTTCCCCTGTCTCCATCATGCCAACGATGGTTCACAAAGCAGCCAATCACAACAGCCACCTTCAGAACTCTGGGGATGAACATCACCAACACAAACGATCTCATGGGGGGGGGGGGGGGAAATTAAACTCCTGGTTGGTCTGTGCTTTAAACTGCATTTGCCAATGCTGCCTTAAAGAAAGCAACTCACCCTTCCCTTCACCAACACATCGCACCCAGCTTACCCCTTTCCCTGTACCCCCTCAATTCATACAAATATTCATCTCCGCTGAAGCCAGGCTGACATTAAGAGCACAGCCTGAGCCTGTATCAGTTTCCAAGCCAGTGAGTGGCCACAGGAATTGTTATGCTGACAAAGGGGTGCTTCTTTTAGCAACTATACTGGCACAAAGTGGAAACACAGCACAAATGAGGCCAATATCCAATCTCTTTTACACAGTCAGAAATGAGGCTCCAAGTGGTCAGGCACTGGAATGGGCTCCCATAGAGGCACTGTAATCCCCATCCCTTGAGCTTTTCAAAACAGCTCAGCAGAGTCTTGAGCAACCTCATCTAAATTACAAGCGTGATCCACTCAAAAGAGCAGCTGGCAGGAGGCTTGCAGAAGTCTTTTTTGAACAGAGGCACCCTAAGCTATCACAGCATCTTTAAGAACAGCTGTTACAGATCCAGGCTGCATAATTCCCTTACCCCCAGAAAGGTGTGGGCAATTTTACTCATGCAGAAACAGTAAAAGGTGCAGGTTCTGCTCAAGGTTATTCAGTGGAAAGCCAATAACTCCCATAAGCCAGAACCCACGTAGAAAACCACATCTTATGGAAGACATCCTAAATAGCCTTCTGCAAACCCACACACATCCCTAGTAAGTAATGTATGAACACCTGTCCAGTACTGTTGATGCTCCATTGCAAAGACTTCCCTTTAAGGCCTGTGACAGATGAGACAACCTGCAGTCTGTTCAGACTGCATGACATGCTCTGAGAAAACCTAACATTGATTTGCTCTGTGCAATAAACCAGCAACAATTTGAATAAGCAGTAACTTACAGAGCCATGTCATTTGCTTTCAAGTAGAGGGAAGATTCAAGTTTCCCCCTACTTTCAACTAGAGTTCTCCAAATCTATCTCCAAAGTATTCTTTCTGTCTCTCTCCCTTCAAATCCTTGGCTTTCCTTTCTTTGTAAATTCATCCCAACTCAATATCTTTTTCTCCAGAAATTCAAGCCTTGACACAGGAAGACTGACAGCTCTGAGCATCCTAGTGCTTAGTGTTATGCAGTAAGGAAGTAGCAGGAGGTGCTGCTAAGCCAGAAAATGCACCCTGAAAGCTTTCAACCTGCAGTACTCCTGGAGGAAGGCATGCACACACCAGCACAGGTGAGAGCTACCTACTTGCCTGACAGTAAAGTTAAATAAGTACTTCACTGCAAAGTGCTCCAACTGCTCATAGTAACAGATATTTGAGCCCATTCACATGTAACTAGCAATAGGATGACAGGGAACAGCTTTGCATGGCAACAGGGGAGGTTCAGGTTGGATATTAGGAAAAATATCTTCTCTGAAGGAGTGGTCAGGTGCTGGAATGGGCTGCCCGAGGAGGTGGTGGAAGCACCATCCCTGGAGATGTTGAAGAAACAGTCAGATGTTTTA